GGTTAAACTCTTGAAGCAAGCTTCAGATAAAAAATCAGGCAAATCTTCTGTTGTCCAAGGCAAAATTGAAAGCCAAAGTGCTAATAGAACTTCTGTGAAGTTGATTCCCTCTCCATCTCAGGAGTTATCTCTAGAAAGTTCTACACCCTCCCAGGAGCTTACTCTTGCTGTGGAAGATGTTACTCATGCAAAGACTTGTCAAGAGTCATCAACACAGACTTATGACACTGCGTTTATTCCATGTGAAGCTTGTGCTAGAACACAACAAAATCTTATTGAAGTTGGTAACATGGTGATTAAAGTATGTGAATCTCAAGGACTTCCATCTTCACTGGCAAAGCAGAAAAAACTCTTGCGGCAATCCTTGATGGCTGCAGCTGATTTATCAAGGTGGGCATCTGAACAAAGCCAAGATCTTGCTAGAATTACTGATCACTTAGATAATTTATATGCACAGATAAATCCACTGGAAGATAAACTTAGTAGGTCAAAACAAGTTTGTGCACAACTGGAAAAGGAAATTCAAGATCTGGAAAAGCAGTTGTTGGATAAGGACAGTGAAGGTGAAAAGAAGGAGGTAGACCTCAAAGAGAAGCTTAAACAAGTTGTTGCCGAGAAAGATCTGTTGCTAACTGATGCAGAACAATTGAACAATGACCTTATGAAGGGAAAAGATGTCCTTCAGGGTATGGAGTTCAAACTGGCTCAAATGCTCGAGAAAATATCTCCAAGGAGAGCGTAAGTGGATGACGGCAGTGTCTATTTCCCTCAACAAACTCCTAAAGATTTTTCTTGAATTTGTGAAATGAGATAACTTGGTGTTGTGTCAACTGAGTTGATAATGTAAATTGGCCGCCACCGTAAAGAGTATCTAAGCTGACATTTGGAGCGTTCGTCCTTCGACAGAGCGAATGGCTTTGTTAAAATGAGTATACTAAGAATGTTGCTTAAGATCAATTTATCAAATTCCGAAAATACCCTGACCTTCCCTTAGTAGCTGCACGTGTATTGTTTGTTGTTTTATCTTCGTCATGACTAGACTATCAAAACTGATAGAGTAATTTTTTTTGGTTCAAAAGTGGGAAATTTCTTCCTTTCCGGTTTTCCTTGAATATTCTTTGCGATTCATTAAGACTCTCGTCCTCTTACTCAACCAGATCATCCTGGTCTTCACCAGTCACTCCACTCATAACCTGATCACAGGCGTCTTGTTTCCCGTGAATTTTCTCTACGTTCTTATTGGTTCCTCGTACTGTTGTCGTTGTTCTGACTGGCTGTTGTAAATGTCTTAGTACCGTGTCCCTCATTTATGACATGTGCTCCTACTGGATAGGCTCATGAACGTTCAAGACACGTGCCACGTTCTCTCGTTTTCTCTCTCAGCGTTTCCAACTTTATTTTAAAACCGTCCAAACTTCGTGATCTTTTTTTAGGTACAAGAACCTGTTGCCTTGTGGAAACAACACAGTGACGAACCTGGACTAATGGAACAACAGAAGGATTTACTTAGGAGGTTTTGTTCAATTTTTTAGCTGTCTTTTAGTTGTTCGCCTGTTTATAAAGTACTATTACAGATCTCAGAAGCAAGTTCACGAAAATATTTAGATTGGAATTATTTTAGCGAACTGATTTTTTCTTGCCACTATACTTTACTGTTCTTTGTATTGAGAAGGTATAAGTCATCTTTACAGTAAACCCATGCAACTAATACAGCTTTTTCCGTTCTTTATTATTTGCACGTCTCCTGTTTAGAATTTTTATGAAGAAAACCCAAATGTTTCTCATAAGCGCCCAGCTTATGCCAACCAAGATTTGGATCATGATATCCATAAATCTTTTTGCTATGGTGCAGTGAATGAAAACTACACATGACCAACTGAACGTTACGATATCATTCAATACGTCCAAATAATTTGTTTGAAGGTATTAAAAAGATATTAATACTAATTGACATGTAATTATTAAAGTAACTCTTGAACACAAACCATGATGTTCCCAGTGTTAACTCCGTTGAGCTCTGAGGGAGCAAATATGCCAGGCTGCGCTACCTTCGCTTCAATGTAGCCTGCAGAACAGGCGTATTCTGTGTGTGTGTGTATGTGTGTGTATGTGTGTGTGTGTGTGTGTGTGTGTTAATTTAGGTCTTACCTCCGCTGTAAATATTTAATTTACACTATTTAAACCAGCTCTCTGGTGTTTTTAGCTACTTAATTATTTCAGGGAGCTGGTAACCCTTAAACAAGTTTATCAAATCAGTTTTTTTACAAATGACTGTAATTCCTAAATTATGGGGTAATAAGTCGTTGTTGTTGTTGTTGTTATTGTTGTTGTAGAGACCAAGAGGTTTTGAAGTGTGGGTTGGAGGGCGACTTATTGTTTGTAGTATTCAGCGTCTAAGCTGAGATTCGTGGATTAAAGTGTTAAAAATAGTCCAGTGTCGGCTGAAAGATATTTTATTACACCCATGCTTTTTTTCTGGTCGAAGCCCAAAGACGGAAACTAGTTTTGGCGAGCCACTGGTTTGGAGGGCTACTACTGGAGAATATCAGTAGAAGTTTCGGTCACAACAAAATTTTCCAAAAAAAAGCGTCGTGATTCTTTCTGCTTAGTTGTGCTAATTTCCATCATTTTCCTTCGGGAAGCATTTCAAATTTAACTTCTTCTCATATAGCTGAGAGATGTGTGAAATAATAGTTTCCTGTAGGCATTTTTGGTATGTTCCACAGAAGTAAATAGTGATTTTTGCGCGCCCTGATTGGCTAGTTCGGAAGTGAATATTCACTTCCTTGCAGTCGAAGAGACAAAACTGTACGTCAGGAGTTTATAAAGTTCTGACCATTTTTCAATATATTTACAGAAATCAATTAATTTTGTGGTTTTTATGTGGTGTATACTAAACCAATTATTCACCTTAGTGTTAGGCCTAGTTACGTCGTGCTACAGTCGAATTTCATTCAGACGAATTTAATTCAAGGTCCCACAAGCAATTAAATTCGACGATAGCGTGACGTCTAAAACGAATTAAATTCGTCTGGTAAATTAAATTCGTCCTTGACGTTTTATATCTGTCTTGGTAAGACGGATAAAATATCGATAACGCGTCTTCAGTTTCAACGTCGCACTAGCGTCGCGTCGAATGAAATGCATACATTTTCTTAATGTATTTCAACCGCGCCATATTTGTTTGAAAATGACACCTCTGACCAGAAGCATCGCATTTTTATTAATTTATTTCATCTATCTTAATTTTCTTCTTTTAATGTATTTAGTTATCGTACTTCGAATATTTTACAATTATTGTTGTAATTAACTCATTTTTATATGGAGGTCCCTCATGAAAACCACCCAAGGCTGATGTGGTTTCCTCCTTAAATAAAGTTTTACTTCACTTCACTTCACATTTGGGAAGAGAATAAACCTCGATCGTATTGATCTCGACGCATAAAACCACTCCACGATTTACGTCGACGGAACGACGAATTTAATGGAATTAAATTCGTCTGAATTAAATTCGATTGTATAGCGCGACGTATAAACTAGGCTTTAGTAAAAGTGGTGGATATTCACCTCCGCTCCGGCGAACAACTGTCAATTATTCATTGTGCAATAGAGGAATATAGAAGACTTTTAAAATAGCGAAAATCGGTTTCCTACAACGTCTTTATTTTCTTTCTTTGTTCACGGTTTTGTCCACCAATTTCTCCACATCTCAATATGATAATTTCTCAATTTCTTAGAACCTACTAAATGAAATTTCTAACTGTTAATGTTAACTCTCGTGATTTTCCTTCGAACACCTCTCTGTCAGCTGATAACTGGGACTGAATCTTGTAAGTCAAGTCTCAGCAGTTCAATTAGTTCAGAATATCAGCTTAAGGATTTTTCTCCTGGGGGATTTCTCTATGCATTGCATGACTAAGTCTCCAATTACCCTGCTAGTGTACATTTCAACTGTAATTGTATTGGCTTTTCTTACTTTCGTAGGGAGGTGTACATTTGTGTGCTGACATGCTGTCTACCTTGCCAGCACAAAGTTCATCTAAGGAAAAATTGAAAGTTTTGCTTTTGTCATCTGAGTGGTGGTCCAGGAAAGGAGGAATATCAACACTGAACAGAAAACTTGCCATTCAGTTAGCTAATCACCCGTCTGTTGCGGTTACAGTCTTTCTTCCCGAGTGCAGTGAAGAAGAAAAGGAAGAAGCTGTGAGACATAACATTAATATTGTTAAAGCCATTAGGCGGGTTGGGTTTGAGGAAAACGTTTGGCTTTGCTTTCCACCTAGTGATCTCCAGATTGACTTTGTAATTGGTCATGGAGCTGTCCTCGGACCACCAGCCAAACTTATCAGCGACTATCGCCAATGCAACTGGGTCCAAATCGTTCACACCATACCAAAAGAACTGGGAATGTTCAAAACTTATGGGAATCCCATTTTGAAGAGTGAGATGAAGCACAAAGTTGAAGTCGAACTTTCAGAAATGGCTGCCTTAGTCGTTGGAGTTGGGCCAAAATTGAGTGAAGCTTTCCAAAGTTATCTTGGCTGGAAGAATCCCGATGATGTTGTTACCCTTACCCCTGGAATTTTCAACGAATACTCAAACATAGAACATGTACCTATAGATAAGACAAAACGTCGAGTTTTGGTATATGGTCGTGGAGATGAGGAAGATTTTGTTCTGAAAGGTTTCGACATCGCAGCTAAGGCTGTAACCGATTTAAGTGACACAATCCTTATCTTTGCCGGTGCTCGCGAGGAAGACTTTCAACAGGTTACTAAGAGGTTTTTGGAGTGCGGCATTTCTCCAGAAAACCTGCAAGTAAGAGGTTTCCTTAGTGATAGAAAGGAGTTGATCAAAGTATTTAGTGAAGTGGATCTTGTCTTAATGCCCTCAAGAGCTGAAGGCTTTGGACTCACAGGCCTTGAGGCTTTATCTGCTGGCCTGCCTGTACTCGTGAGTCGGAACACGGGATTTGGAGAAGCGCTAACCAAGATTCCATTCGGCGATTCTTATGTGGTCAACTCCAAAGATGCAACGGTGTGGGCTAAAGCTATAAAAGAGGTCTTGGGGAAAGTCCACAAAAGGCGAATTCAGGAATCTAACTGTCTGCGTACTTGGTACAGGGAAGAGTACGACTGGAAGACCCAATGCGAGAAACTGGTTGAAAAATTGTTCAGTGTCTTCCATGGTATGTATTTAACCAAGTTCAACTGAATTGCAGACTTAGCATTCTCGTAAGAGTGGGCTGCAGAAAGACATAACAAATTTAACCAAAATTTGTTGTTAGCGCACGATACAAACATTAATGGGATGGTTATTAAATAAATGAACCCCCTTCGGGCTTGCTGCCATATGTCGACTACTAATGTCCTTAGTTGAGAGATTGTCCTCGAAATTCCAGTTTTGCCCTCCAGATTTCGCTTTTCGTGCAATTATATATTTTTCGGACTATATCTCAGCAGCGGACAATATCAGTCGACATACCAGCCACCAGAAGGGGTTTATGTACTACATAATTTGAGCTTTACGATTAGTTAGCATCATTTATTATTATTTTTTCTCAGATAAGCAGGAACAAGAAATGTCTGGCGTGGATGTGTATTCAAACCAAAGACGGAGAATCTGTCCCAGCCCTCCGCAAGAGAGAATGGTAAACAAACCTAGCACCCCTTGGCAAGGAGGCATTGATAAAGCATGTTTATGCCACACGAGGAAACAGCAAATAGAAGACGAAGCAGATCCTCGGAAGCAATTACGGGAAGAGAAAGAAGGACCGCCAGAAAGGTCTGGAGGTGGACAGCGTCAGCAATGTGTAACTCACCAACACAACCTTCACGTCCAGGAGATATATATCCGGGAAGAACTTTCTCTCCAAGTAGAAGAATCTGTTCAGGAATCAAGATTGGAGGGTGGACCAACGATTATAAAAGCTAAAGCAAACGAAAACATCACGAGAAACGTGAGTACTAGAGGAATGCAATCAGCTGATTCTACAGGACAAGAGGCACTGACGACAAGGCTGGAGTCTTTTCTTGGTGACTCAAAAGATCAGTGTGAAAAAACAACCGTCATGGAAGAAGAGGAATTGACGCATTCCAGAAGTTTAAGTTTTCTTACCAAACCGGAAGGAAGATCAGAGAGATTGGAAAATGCATTTTCACAGATGCATCAAAAGTCCCTTGACGAGGCAGGTGCGCGTTGCAAGGAAGAAGATGGATCAAAGAAAAGCGAAGCAATCGTAGAGGAATGGAAGAAAAGTTTAGAGGAGGAGCAACAGCTGAGAGCAAGGATGGAAGGGGAATTAAGGCAAACACAAACTCTATGTACCGAGATGGAAGAAACAATTCATGAACTTGTGCAAACGTGTCTCGCTTCTCAGTCTGACAATGATTTACAAACGTTGAAGGAACAGGAACGAAACAACAATGAAAACATTGCACGTGACCTAAAACAGATGTTACGGGTAGAGCAGGAAGCTAAGACAGAAGCTGATAACTTGGCAGAAGTGCGGAAAGAAAACACTAACTTGAGAGAGAGATTTGTTGCTCTTGAACAGAACTATGTAGCGCAGATGATTGCGAATAGTCATTTGAACAATTTGAGAGAGCAGGAATTGAGAGAAAAGGAAACTCATATAGCTGAACTACTGGACGCATTAGACGAAACGCAACATGCAAAGCTTTCAAGGGAAAAAGAACTGACCCTTGCAAGGAAACGCTGTGTAATGCTTGAACAACAACTGGAAAGCGAAAGATACGTCCCTGTGTCAAGACAATGGCACCCTCAAGCAGACGACTGGAAAATTCCACGAGAGCACATCGTCTTGGGTGAGATTTTAGGTCAAGGAGGCTGGGGCACCGTAGTAATGGGAACGTTTCGCGGTTGCCAGGTTGCCGTTAAGCAAATGCACAATCTGATTCTCTCGCCTCACAATCGTGCATTGTTTGAACGAGAAATGAGGATTGTATTTCGCTGTCACCATCCGAACATTTTGCAGTTTATTGGTGCCACGTTTGACGATGGTAGTCCTTTATTAGTCACTGAATTACTCGACGCCTCATTAAGAAATCTTTTGGAAGAACGACCATTACCTTTAAAAGAAACAGTTACCATTGCTCTGGATGTTGCTAAAGGCTTAAACTACCTTCATCTTAACACGCCTCTTCCCATCTTACATCGAGATGTCACCAGCACTAATGTCTTGCTCTGGAAGAGAGATCAACACTGGAGAGCTAAGCTGGGTGACTTTGGAGCGGCAAATTTTATGCGCAAGTGTATGACTGTTGCACCGGGTGCATTGTCCTATTCAGCTCCAGAAACTTTCACCCGTAACCAGACAACGAAGGTAAAGTTGCTTTCCATTCATTTTGCAAATCAGTTCAATGAAAAAAAGAGATCGCGAAGTAAGAGCCCAAGGAAGAATTGTAGAAAAGACTCGTGATGCGACAACGTTTCAGCCGTTCTTCGACGTGACTACTTTCGACACAAGACATTGTGGAGTGACTGTGCCTTTGCTTTGCGTCTACACACTTTCAGTAGAATAGTAAACATTACGAAAGGTTACACCGAGGGTGAGAGTTTCCCTTTTGTTGTTGCAAAGCATTGTTCTGCAAGAACATCGACTTCATTAGAGGAAAAACCCAACGACTTACTGAAAGTTATTGAAACGAACGCTAAAGCAACCCACACGACTAAAGTAACTATACTGTATTTAAAGAGCATTTCCGAAACCATTACGGGGATCATATAACTCAAGACCAAACTATCTCCTTGCCCCATGTATGTAATCGGCCGATCCGTTTGTCCCATGCCAAGGTTCTGACGGGTTCTTGAAGATATAAATCTCCCTGAAATTTTATTAGGTAGTAAGACATTTAAAATATCACCAGAGACCGTAGCGTGTAACGAAAAATCGACGCTATACTTTTCTCTGACTAGGTTGACGTGTACAGTTTTGGCGTCCTGCTGTGTGAGATGTGCATTAGAGAACTTCCGGATCCCGAAATACGCCATGAGCAGATTCTCAAGGTATCAAGTAGTGCAGTTCAAGGGCTTATTCGGCGGTGTGTTTTACGCAATCCCGAAGAACGCCCCTCAGTGAGGGATGTCATTCCGTTTCTTAGCTGGATTAAAGAAAGGGATTAACCAGAGGAGTATGGTAGAATAGCTATCGGTTACACCCTGGTAATGGAAGAAACACTGATACAACCTAAAAGTTTCACCGATTGGAGTTCAAATTTTAGTCTGGGTTTCGTAACTTACCTTAGTGTTAGAGAACTTTAAAATTCTCATAAAAGATTTTCGACAGAGACAATTGATAGAAATACGAAGACATCAGTATGTAAAAATGCAACAGAATCAGTTGTTCGTAATTATAATTATGATGATAATTGTTGTGCATAGGTTACGTTTTTTGACACAGTTTACGCCTATTGTTAATTTGTTATAGCTTAATTGAAGCATACGCACGTTCAGACTTTATAATGATGATGTTTATGATGTTGATGAGTCTTTAGTGGTAGAACCGCTTGACTCTGAGACTTACACACAAGAGAGTTAGTACAGGGACAAATGAAATATTCACATTTACATGAAAAAGAGTTTTCTGGATAAATGTTTCCTTGAAATGCAAGCTTTAGGCTTTCAGTCTTGAGCCTTTTAAAAACTAAACTTTTTTAAAATACTTAATTTTTTAAGTGTAGGAGGGAGCTTGTACATATGTTAAGTCATGTTGGCATACATGTTTTTACTTTTACTCAACACTTGAGGATAATTTTTCTGAATTTGATGATTTTGATTCATGATCAAAGGAGGAATCTATATTCAGTTAAAAAAAAATTATTAAAACTCTATAAAATAGTTACCGATGATATGTGTATTTTGGCTCGCAGTTTTATATGAGTGTAAATATCTGCTATTTGGATTAAAGTTATCTTTGATGAACTGAAGTAGTCGAACCAGGGCTTATCAATTATTGTCTTGACTATTCATTCCTTTTATTCTTTAGTATCGACAGAGTAGAATTACCTATATATTTCTGCTTCCGAATTTTTCGATTTGGATGTAAGGTTAAGGCGTTAGCAAAACACTGTTATAATTCACTGAAAACACCATATTTTTACCACAATTGGCGGTAAAGTCGCAATCTGATTGGCCAACTTATCGTTGTCAACATGGGTACAGACAACGCGGCTGGCGTCAACGTGTCACGCAACGTGTCACGCTCTGAAAGAATAGTTCGTCAAATATTGTGGTAAAAAAACAGTGAGTCCGCGATAAATTTGACCACTGTGATGACGAGTATAGCTGTCGATAAGAATACAGATCCCGCTAAACCACTGTCGATTTGTTAAATTTTTACCATATTGATCGACTTTATAGGGAATACAAAGTAAGAAAAATGAAGAAAGAAGGAAGAGGGAGGTTTTAGTACAATTAATTTGGGTGTGGTAAAACTTGAGTATAAACTTTAAGAAGGGGTTTTAATTTCTCACCCCGGGAGTTTACAGAAGAAAGCAAACAACATCAAATTCGTCGTGGTTGGTGTCGTTGTAACCAAGTAAATTCTAACCGGATTTTCGGTCTGGATGGAGTGTCTTCATCAACCTCAGAGATACTAAGTAATTTCCTATGAAATGCTCCTCACCAAGACCGCACAAAACATATGGCAAATGAAAACAAAAAAAAAGCATCTTAGACGACGAACAGTTTTGGAAAGACCCTGAAATAAAGAAGATTAAATACAAAGATCTCCGATTCTTTTGTTCTTTGAAGGGTCTACGATGAATCAGTCCTGACCACACGAAATGACTACTCATCTCGAAGGGCTGGATTGGATGGGGGATAGAGGTAGCTTGGTAACCTTTTGTGTGAGTTCAAGATGGCGGGCGAATTTTAAGAAAATCGACTTGCGGGATATACATCCGTGATGTGTTTGTTTTAAGAGTTCTCACGGGCTGACAAAATGGAAGTGTAAGAAGAAATATTAATTTTTTTGTGATATTATCACTCAAACGTCCGAACATTTAAATTTTTGAGAAGTTTCAGTTCAGAAAATATAAAAGTGACGCTAACTCTACGATCTTCGATTTGCAGACTGAATGACAAGGCCGCTATGTTGAGCAATTATGAGGTAACGTTGCCTTGGAAATTTCTTATCTTCAAGCTGAAGATATTAAGTGAATCATCTAGGACTGTCTTTGGTCATGTTTTCCCTTGAAAAACCCTGAAGTTTTAAAAGTTTCAGCTGATTCCTACAACAAGCAGACAAGAGTGATCAGATGACCCATGTAGATAAAATAGACTATAGAAAACAGCGTTTGCAAGACATTTATGATTATCATTTCCCAACATTTCATAATTTAGCCAACTCCTTAACTCTCATAAGGAGCCAGTATTAGATTGATTTCTCCAATTTTTTTGTCAATCAGAAAGGTAGTGAGGATGACGAAAATTGTCAATTTTGGGATATTGCTCCGATATGGTACTAAAATCTCGGAACTTGACAACGTAGAAATCCTTGTTCATCAGCACCGAGGACCCTCTCTCAGATCTAAGGGATGATTGTGTTAAGGATTGTCATAAATTAGGGAAAAGACAGGAACCAGTGACCACAGCCAATCCCTTGAAAAGTTAATATATATGGTGTCATCCACAACTTAATGGGACATGTCTCTGGAACTTGTTTGCCCTTAAGACAACTTAAGATTACCATCACTGAATTTTTAGTGTATGCACTTGTTGTATGGAACAAGCTGCCACCACTATGACTACTTGCATAGACTTGTGTTCCCTTAACCCATTCAGTCCAAAGATCTCATTTGAAACTCTCCTTACTGTGTGCCATACCATTCTTATGATGTTAGCTTGGAGACTTTGGTATTGGATCAACTAAAAATCCCTTAATTGAAATTTTGTCTATATTCTCATCACTTGTCTGCTTGACATTGTATTGATATAGTAAGAAGAAATTCTGTCTTGGTCACCGATGGGAACTAATGGGTTAAAGGTAAACTGTCTCTTGTGCTTTGATAATTATAGTGATTTTATTTAAGGTATTGCTATTATTGTTGAGAATTTTTCCCTACCCTGCCTCCTTTTAGGTTGTAAAATTCCTCCTCAAATACTATTGCAATTGCTTGTATTTACTAGGTGTATCAGCTATTGCTAGAAACAGAAAACCAAAACAAAGTTGACAAGAGCAAGAAGAGACAGAAACACCTTGTAAACCTGTCAACAATTTGCTATGAGGTCAGTAAAGTTATCATTTTTTTAAGAGGTTTTGTTCAAGGTTGCATAAAGCTTATAGCATGATTAATAGTGTTAACTTGTTAGTGAAGTATAGTGTTGTCTACTTTCAGGCCAGAAAACATTTGGAGAAAACTCCTTGCAAACACCAGGTGTGGTCATACAAAGAACCGCTTTTTTCTTTGAGCTTAAATTGACCACTACAGTTTGATTAAATTATTTGGAAACATTCTCTGGAATTGTTTTTTTTTGTTTTTTTTTGCAGAGTCCAGAGATAATAGAAGAATTTCTGAAAGCCATGCAGCCATTCAACTTAACAAGGTTTTCTTCTGTCACTTTGTGAAATAACACAATGTTTGATAACTTTTCCCAGCACTCTCTTTATGCATGTAACTCTTAAAAACCCTAACATCAATATGCATATTATCCATACTGTTCTCTTGACATTTCTGCAGATGCTGACAGTTAGGATTTGTTTAATAATCAAGAGCTTTTATTGATAATATAAATTTGTTCTGTTGTCTCACGACAAAGTCACTAGGTATAGAATGCAACATTTCGACTGCTTACTGCAAGTCTTCTTCAGGCGATGGGGTCAACTGGTTGCAGCACAGCATTATATATCACGGGTAGTCTGTTGTGATTGGTGCATTTCAATCCGGCTATTGTTTCCATGCACCATGGTTTCCTCAGGTGTTCATTGAAGAAGACTCGTGGTAAGCTGTCAAAACGTTACATTCTACATCTAGTGACTTCATCGTGAGACAACACAACAAATTTATATTATCATCCAGCTACCACAATGAACAACAACGTATTTCATAACAAGAGTTTCTGTTGTTGGTGATCATATCTTTTATCTTTGTGACCTTATTGTGTGATTCAAAGATGATAGTGTAAGGAGAAATAAGATGTTAGTCACTCTTAGGGTCAAAAGGTTGATATATGGTAATATGTTTTTAACAGAGCAGAGAAGCTTCAATTGTTGAATCTGAGACCAACAACACTGGTTGAAATTCATCTGGTAAGTTGCTTTTTGTTATTTCTCTTTCCTCATCATTGGCACTTCAAGATTTTGCCAAGTTTGTCATAAAATATGTCATTGCACAATTTTTATTACTTTGTGAATTTTTTTCAGGGAACCACAAATTTTTGGTTTTACGATTTTACAATTCTGTACTTATAAAAGTCTTTATTCCATCATAAGATAAAACTACATATCTTATGTTACAATGAATTGGAAAAACTACAGAAATCTACATACATATTATGAATTAAAAAGTTTTGTTTATCCTAGATCATTGAAGATAGTGAAGAGCGTTTGAAAACTGATCAAGAGATTGAGGAACTTTTGAATGTAATTGCCACAAAGCTTCCTGATCCTAATGAAGAGACAGTGGTTGAGGAAAAACAGGAAGATGAAGAAGAAATGTCTTAGTGGACAAAATGAACTAATGAAACAACACATTTCATTCAAGAAAATGATAGAATTAGAAGATATTTAACGACTATTTTTAACTTTTAGATTGTTTGTGAGTATCCGTAGGCATGGAATTTCAATGGCAATTTCATCCAAAAAATAACAATATTTATGTTAGCCTAAAACAAAAATTGATTGCTTATGAGGGATGGGATATCCTAGTTGGTAGTAGTCGTGATGACATGCTTTATTGAAAATTAAAAACTTAACATGTCACTTTCTAAACTGTCGTGACTTTTGACAAAATAGGAGATGAGGGGATCTGAAATTTGTTAAGAAAGCGACTCAAATTTAATATCTTTTTGCAGGGAAAAGGATATTTTTAACTTTCTGACTATGCATTTTTTGTAGCTTTCACGAAATTTCCTCCTCAAACTAGAAATACGAGCGCTCCCGTCTTCTCCCTCCACGTCACGTCACCTCACTGAAAGATTGATCGCTTTATTTTCCCCCTCAACAAGTCTAGTTATCCGAGGTCTTTCAAATAATTTTTACAATTTTCCCATAAGGTTACTTTTGAAAGTAAAAAAAAAACACAAGAAAATTGTTTACGCAATCCTGGCAGGCTGATGTTCGTACATGAACAAAATCGATCGGATTTTAAACTGAGATAGATGAAATTGTTTGCCAATGTTAGAGGAAGATCCGAGCCGCCAAATAAAAGAAATTGTTTGAAAAACAGCATTTTGCTTGTGAGAAATCTCGCAGTTCTTGATCGAAGTCCAGTCAAACTTTATTCTCAACGAGTGGGGTGAATAAATTGGTTAACCAAATCCAAAAGAGAGACAATTAAAAAAAAATAATGAATTGGCAGCGGTGGGATTCGAACCCACGCCATCGAAATGACTGGTGCCTAAAACCAGCGCCTTAGACCACTCGGCCACGCTACCTTCCACGTCTAAGTGAGGGAGAAAATTTATTATATAAACAATTGTTCCAATTTAGCCACCCTCTCAGGGATTGGTGTCTCCATATCATAGCAATGTAAATGAGTCAACACTCCTTGGAATATTATTTATAAAATTTATATGTGACTTTGACTGACGGGATGATTGGTAAATAGCTCCTTTCTTTTGTGGTGAAAGTTTTGTTGGAGCTGATCAAACCATCAATACCTGGAAAAGGATCTTCTACTTCACAATTATTTCACGAGCACACATTGGATATGAGATGATAAATAGCCGAGGAGCATAGCACCGAGTTGGCTATAATCATCTCATATCCAACAAGTGCAAGTGGAATAATTGTTTTAGTAAAAAAAATGCCCCCAAGATATTAGACAAACCTTCTCAACTTTATTTTGTAAGAAGAAACTGGATGTTACAATGTACAGATAATAGATTAAGGCATATTGGCTCATAATACCATAATGGCTAAGCCAATGAAAAGTCTACAACTTATCCAAAGATACGGAATCTAATGTAGCTCTCGACGTTTCAGGATGGGATACGATCAATTTAGAATACAAATTTGAAATAGTTAACCTTTTTTATAAAGCAAGTAAAGTCTCACTACCTCAGTCTCTAATTAATAGCATATTCATAAGGCGGGCATGTAGCTATTCACTAAGAGACCAAGAAGCAATAACCACACGTAGATTCAACTCTAGATTGTTAAAGGACTCTTTAGCATATAGAGGTTCGGTACTATGGAACTATGTTAACCATCACGTCAAAAATGTAGGTAGTTTCGCCCTTAAGAATCTCAGGAGGCTACTCAGGAGAAACAATCACTTCACAAGCTTTACTTTTACTAGTTTATCAGGTTCGATGGCTAGGAATAGATTAACTGATTACAAGTATTTTTAAGTTGAGAGGAAATTGAATGTTTTATTGTATTAAAGTTTCTTCTTTAGTTTGAAATGTCTTAGTAGTATCATAAGCTGGCTAGATACTATTTTGTTAAGTACACGACCCCACAAGCTTTTTAGCTTTAATTCTTATCGTGTATAAATAAAGATACTACTACTACTACTACTACTACTAATTGAACTGCATTATCCAATGATCCAATGAATTGACAATATATTGCATTATCCAATGATCCAGTTTTTAATAAATTATACACATTATCGATACAAGGCTTATAGTACCAAACATTTGATACTACATCTTATCTGAGATCAGGGAAAGGGAGCAGTAACAGTCCTGTTTCCAGGTTGGGATGACTGTGCTTTACCCTTTGAATCCAAAGAGAGACTTACATTCAATACAGTATCAAGCAGATTAGCCATAAGAAAAATATCACATAGGTGATTATTAGTTGATCCAATACCAAATTCCCTGAGCTAATGTCATAAACAGTAAGGGAAAATACAAATGAGATCTGGGAGTAGAAGGTTAACCCAGCCAGCAAGAGCCACCTGAAAGGCTACATATCCTCTTATTGGGTCAATTCAATTTATGATTCAGTGTATAAAAGGAAAAGAAAAAACAAAGGTAATTGACTTTGAAATTTATTTTTCATGTGTTTAAAATAAATGTTGAGTCAAGTGTACCATTATTAAAAACTACTTTACCATCACTGAATATCGTGTATTGTATTTTCATGATGCAGCACAGAATCATAGCAAATAATAGACTTCTTCAGGAAAATAACTGTGAAGGAGACTTCAAAAACACTTGTACAAATGAAAATAATGAAACATTACTTCATCTGTCTCATCCTCAACATATTTTCACTCCACTACCGTATATTAGAGAATAACACAGCACTTATATACTTGTTGCAGCACTGATTGATATTAAAATCTACTTCTTACCAAAATAAGTCTGTCCCCTTGCCGTATGAAGCTTTGCAAGTTATGGGAATTGTTGACTAATAAGAAATAATTGCACAATCAGATTGTTTTTTTTAACGCAGCCATTTTGGTTGATTTACATTCATACTCTCTTTGACCAAAGGCATTTTGATTTGTGTTTGTTTTCATTACAGCTGGAATTTAAATATTGTCCACACAATTGCTGTGTTTAAGACTGTCAAAGGATAAAAAGCAAATTATGATGTGTAATTTCAATAATGAACTGCAGATTCAGATTATCCAATGAATGCCCTCTTCACATAGAAAATGATTAAGCACCCAAAGAACAGATCATAACTTTTCCAAATGTCTACCACCATCCACAAAAGTGGAAGCAGTACTTTCAGTTGATGTGAGGATTTGACATCGGAAATTAAATCCAAAATGACATCTCGACAATTGTCAAAAATATCTGAACAATACTTTATTCCTGAAGTAAAATAAAAATAAAATGCAAGTTGAGATACATACAGGGGGCTACTTTCCCAGTAAAAGAAGAATACAGTATTGACAGATCTGTGTGTGTAAATAAAGATCTAACAGAAATTGCAAGCATTTCCACATTAGGTTACATTCTTGTTAACGAATGATTCTTCCCACATTATGGTACAAAAGACTGTAACCAGCCTAAAGATCCCCTTTAACTAATAATCAACATTTACCTCTTAATTGAATATCTGGTGATTTTTTATCTGGTGATTTATCACACTGCACAAAAATATCCTGTTTTCTTACAATAGCACTCATTACAGTTATAATCCCCAACCTAAAAAAACTTGTTCAAATTAACCCAGATAACAGATTGAAGAACAAATTATATCTTGTGTTTGAAGCATAGCTGCTCTCCTCAAAACTGCAATATTTATAAAAAACCTAACTCCATAATTACTAATTAAACAGAGCAAAATTCACCATTTTCTTTTCAAGGTAACTGACGAAAGCATTAAAAATATTTAACCTATTATTATTACAGTTGTTGTTAGTTATAACAGTATTTCACAAAAATAGGCTAGTGACAAAAATTAAAACTCAAACTACTCCTTTTAATTAATACTATTAGCATCAGCTAATAAACAAGACTTTTCCAATTATTTACAATATACTAATTTCGTCAACTGTTTTAACAGCAACAATGTTTACCCCAAGTGTTTGTGCTGGAAACCATGTGCAGCAACTACTGATTCTTTACACTTTTATTACATTCCTTCTAAGTTAGATTGAATATACAGAATATCTTCCATGTACTTGACATGGAATGATATATATTAAGTAATGTGTTGAGTCAGCACTTCAGGCAAATACCAAATACAGATACTCTCATATTTGCAACCTGCTTCAATCTGATAGTTTGACTTCCTTAAAAAAGTCAGTCCTCACACTTACAATCTTTAAAAGGGGTAAATTGATGTGCAAACAATCTTGTATATTCAATATTTCTGCCTCTCTCCCCATTGTTTGTACAACTTACTTCTTAAGTCATGCTTTAATTGTTAAATTTACAGGTGAATGCTGACTAATCATGGTGAAAAGCTGCAAATCCATCCATCAACTGCTCCCCTGAAATCCGAGGTTTGTGCTCAGCACCTTGGATTGCAGTGGCAGTAGAGGCTGCTATCTTGTATAGCAAAAGTACACAAACACAACATCATACTGTGACTTCATGGCTGCCACTTATTGTTCTTCCATTTACACTAGACTTGACATAAGTTGCTGAAACACGTGGAGGAGCTGTATTCACAGGAACAGATCTACCATCTTGGTGTCTTGTCTGATGGTTATTTCTGTCTCTGCCATCTTTGCTGTCATCCTAAAAATATTAATCAATAGGTTATTCAACACTGATCAATACAATAAATTGACAACAATCTGGTGTTTCTCTCCACACATTCACCTGTCATGCCTTTTGGTAATTAGTATGCTTAATCTCAAATAAAGTCACCCTAAATGTAACCCTTTCACTTTCAAGCAAAGAAAACAAATTTTCAGACAACACCACATATCTTCAAAATTTGGTTTGAAATCCAAACAGAATCCTTCTATGAAAAACTTGCATAATTCCAGTAACTAGGGCTTCCAACAAGGTGAGCTGGAGAATTCAATCAAAAGTACAAAATCCCTAACATCCTGTACGTTCCTGCACAATACTCTTGCAACATGTTTAAGTTTCTACTGCTTTCTGAGTTTCTAGGACAACTTAAACCATGCAGATCAACACGAGGTATTCCCTGGTTTGTAATGAACAGCGGGGTGATTTTCTGAAGTGCAGTCATTTTCCACATAAGGCTCTATGCACAAAAGTTATAATTTTTTCCCAGACTCTGGCAAGAGCCCTTCATTACAAGTGCCTTTAAGCTTTACACCCAAACATCACTATGCATAATTTCCATGCTGTTCTCTTTACATTTCTCATGGTACTGAAAGGGAGAATTCGTTTAATGAAACAATTGGAAGCTTCTTGTAATCATTTCCTTAATTCTGATCACCTTAAAAGATTGATTGAATAGTAACAGTGTAAAAAAATTGGATGCTTAGGTTATCAAATCTAGGGATTCAAATATAGAATAGCCTGTGCAGTTCACTGTGTTGGTATACCTGTGACTTTTGATTGGAGTGATTACTCGTCACCTCAACTTTAACTTCACCTAACTCAATATCAACATATTTGTTTGCATCTTTTTCTTTCTCTTTTTTCTTCTCTATTCTTGTTTTGTTCTTGGTAGTTTCCTTGGCTATATTTTCCATATAACCAATATATCTAAAAAATACAAAAAAATTGTAAAGATATTAACTATAAAGTAAATCTTCATCAGAGGTGAACTTCCCCAATTTGGGGCTGACAACATGGATGGAGGCAACCACAGCCACAGAGGATAGAACAGCTTGGAGAGAAAGAGGGAGACACCCTTTATTCCACAAGGAGAGAAGGAAAGAACAAAGATAATAACTTAGAATTTTCCTTCAAAAATAATGTGGGTAATGTACTCTTGACAACCCTGGTTACAACCAGCCACCAGATGGAGAACTACTCACATGTTAAATGTTGAAAATCCTGCAATAAACTATGAGCCAGTAGTTTTCTACAAGCAACAGCTTTTGATGAACCTTTTACACCCTAATATCAGTATGTATATTTTCCACCCTGTTCTCTGTACAGAGAATTACTGATGAGATGATGGGAGTGAAAGGGTTAAGTATTGTTTAACTGCACTTCATGAACTAAAAAAAATTTTAAGCTCTTAAGAGTTGAAAACAGTATGCATATGAAAAATTGACCCGAAAACTCCTTACTTTGCATACTGAGAAGAACAAAGTGTCACCAAGCAGTTTTTCTTGCAGCCTTTATCAAAAGGATTGTGGCCACTACGAAACTTCCCTGTTACCTAAAAAAAATTAAATAGACAACAAGAGGTTACTTCAATTTCTTATGAAATGAATTACAAATGAATAGTTTATTTGAACAACAGCTACTACTATTTACTAGGGTATCCAGACTTTGCATGTCTTACTGCTCCTGGGAAAAAAATAGCATCAACTGAAACATAATTTTTAACACTTTTAATATGTTGGACAATTATACTTTCAAGGAATTTCAGCATATAAATTTTAATTTTTCAAGGACAACATCAATATAAATTCAAAATGACTATTCAAAAAATTATTAACTTTTAATTAGCCAAAATATATATGCTTTAAAACAGATAATCACATGGTTCATGTGTCTATTGTAAATTAAGAAAATAATCCCACCTGCCTTTTTTTATTTTGGCGATTTCCTTAAATTTGATGCTTGGAAATCATTAGAAATAAAAAAAAAAGCAAGTAAAATGATTCCCTGATTCCCTTTATCACCATTCATTTACACTTATAAATACATCATTAGACTTTTAATTTCCTTAGTTATTACCTGTTCATTAGTTGTACGTCCCATGGCAACCAGTCCAATGTGGAACACAGTTAATCCAACCACTGGAATAGACGTCAGTCCACACACCACCATAATAGCTATTCTGTGTCAGAAGTTAAGGTGGCTAACATACGCAACACCCACAAACATAGCAATGACTTGAACACTGCAAAAATGTTGGTTTTTTTTGTAATTATTGGTTTATACCATTACAGAAAAAAAGATATCAGTAAGAATTTATTTCAGGTTAAGGATACGCCACTGCTGCTTCCCTTAAGTTGTCTTTTTTCTCAAGAATAAATATCAAAGAGAAGACAAATACAGATATAATGTGAATAGACAGAGAAAACACAAAGAAAAAGAAATATCTATAATTTCTCCTGCCAATGCAGTTATCTACCCAAGGACAATGATGATCAAAATTCTGCAAAGAGAAAAAGAAAAATAAGTCTTATCAATACGTAATTCACTGGAATTGTTACCAGACCTAGACTTTGGCTACTCAAACTTATTCTTTAACCTTTCACCCACAAGATACTATTGGGCAATTTTCCTTACTGTCTGCCATACAACTCTTGTGATGCTACTTCTAAGAAATTAGTGTTGGATCAACTAACAATCCCCTAATTGATATCTCGCTTTCCTCTCATCACTTTTCTGTTTGATATTGTATTGATACTGTCAGGAGAAATTCTGTCTTGATCACTCATGGGAGTCAAAGTTTACCAAAGTGAAGCAAATGTAGCAAATCTAGGAGAATGACGAACTCCACCAGCAATGTTATTGAAACCAGGGCTCGACACTAACTTTTCAACTTACTACCCTTTCCTCCTTTCAATAGTGGCCTTTACAAAACTGTGCTTTTGACAGTTCAGTCTTAAGTGAAGTGAAGCAAATAATTTCAGGTTGTGTAAATTGGTGGAGATAAGTAATAATGTTAATGATAATAAACCCTCACCTCAATACAATTATTGCAAATGCTACAATGGGAACATCGTGGTGGTCTGTAAAACTTGCAAGTGTCACACCATTTCATGCGAACGGTAATACCATTTATATCAACATTCTTATATAAAGGAGCTCTGAAGTCATCCTCTTGCTCAGAAGTTGATGTTTCTTCTGCAAAGCAAATATCATATCTGTGCTACAGATAAGCAACACCAGTACTTAACCTAACTGTTTAATGTCAACCAAAGTTTTACCAGTTTTACCCACAACCTTGCTATACTGCTGGACAATTATGAGGCATTTTTCTGTTTTCTCTAAGGTCTTACGTTTTTCAATACCCTTAGTTGCAAAATTAAAAACACTCCAATTCTAGCATCCTTCAATAACAAATCGAATATTTCTCAATCAACAATTAATTCTTCCTTTCTTTTTTTATTATTTTCCACCTTGATTCAAATCTAACTTCACACCTATGCATAGTTTTTTTATGGTAATAAATTAGTACAACTTTTATCCTTTTAGGAGGAAACTTAACCTTATATAAACCTCATGGGTTCATTTTGGTTTCCTCACCAAACACATTGTCGTAATGAACCTAACTTATTGCACTTCCATATAAATTTTTATTGTGTGACAAATATATCAGTAAATAAATAAAAATACCTTACAACTATCTTTTAGACTCTTTGAAGACAATGTTGTACAGAAACAAGTCTACATGTTGACTTAATTACTCACTCCCTTATAGAAGGTCACTTCTATTCATTTAATGGCACTTGCATATCAGAGCAAAAGGTTGTTTGATTAAATAACTAGAGGCAACAAATTTCAATTTTTTTGTTAAGATAAAAAATAAACTTTCATTAGACAGTCATGAAGTACAAACCATAAACTGCCACGTATGTTGAAAATATAAACAAAGTAAAACAAATAAAACATTTTAAACTAATGATGGTATAAGTAATGCCCAAATGTGTCTTTAAAAAGCATGATCATGAGTTTTAAATTTATTTTTATACAATTTTTTTGTTTGACACTAAATCTGTAAACAATATAACATAATATTTTAAGTACCAACGTCTGTCTCAAGAAAAACAAAACAGTTTAGAGATGTAGCATAATTTGTCTATATTCCATGATAAAAGTAAATTAATCCCTCTCATAGCTTGATCTCCATTACCGATTTAGCATAGCATTTCACTTCTTTGCCGCTGATATCTATTTTGGAGGAATTCAATTCATCAAAATATCACATTTCTCTTTTTTGTGACCTGCTTTATTGAGTTTGTCCTAACAATAACACGAGAATTTAGCAATAATCACTAATCGAGATTAAATGGTTAAGCCTTTAAAAGGCCATGGCGAATGTGGGCTGCGTTTGTCGGTATCGTTAACGTGTTTTTTCTTCTCAAGTTATATTGAGGTTTCCAAGAAATTCCGACAGCTGTTTTCTTAATCATTTAAAATAACGTTAAGCTTTTCTAAACAATTATGTCGAGCCTTTTTGAGCAAGAAAAACGTAAGAAGGGACGGGAAATAAAATACATGTTAGAAAACAGCTGCAGAGAACGTTTATTTTTCGCCGATTTCGGAAATTTACCCTAGAAGCAGTTACTGTTTTGAGTATAAACCTTTATTATATATGACACTTAGTGAGAGGGCTGCTCACAAGCAAGTGTGAATAAATAATAATTGTAACGTTTTACCGTGGCCGTCTTTAGAGGCTTGCTGGTGAGCTTTAAGTTAAAAATTCACCATATCGCAAACTTACCTCTGGGAATTATGCCAGGGTCTCTGAGTGAAGCATTGGCAAAACTGGCTAAAACTATCAAAGTAAGGATTCCATCGTAGACAGGGATGGCAATGGAGTATTCATCGGCCAAATGGGGGCATCTAAAAAGGATAAAATAAAACTCGTCAACAACTGAAATCCTCCAAGGCTAAGCGCTTCGGGTGGGCATGATCACAGCAAAAGCACTCGAAAAACCAACCCAGAAACCTTCAATTCTTACACGAACACGAAGAACAGAGTTGTGGTTCCGATGAGGAGCAATGCTGCACATAACAGTGGAATTTGTTGAGAAGAAAACTTCTTGCAAGGCCGAGAACGGGACATCTTCTTCCTTCCCTTTTCTCGGCCCTGATCTGGGAATTATTTTTTGGAAGAAAACCCAAGCCGATTGAACTGAGCATGCGCAAATTCCTACTTTCGATCAGCGGTGTTTCTAGAAAACCAATATGAGCCCCGAAGCAGATGCTGATGTTTTGTGGCAAGAATTTCTCCGGAAATTATAATTTTAAGAGGTTTTGAAAAACAGGAATTTCTTTTCGAATGAATTCAGCAGGAGATAATGAGGATTTGAAAAGTTTCCGTCAGGAATGGATGCAAGAACTCGGCAAAAAACAACATGTACAAGTTGACAAGGTGAATCTGGAAAAATGTCAAAATTTAACACAGGGTAACACTGAGAAATCGTTTCTTGGTTTCAAAGAAGAAATATGTCAGTTTCATCCTGTAGGATGCTTCACGGATAACTCCTACTCTTTAACATTTCCTGAGACGACAGAAGAAAAATTATCTGTCAGTGTTAACAACGATATTGTTCTTTTGAACTTACCAGAACCTCAAACTGAGGTTGTTTCCAATGATTCACCGAGCGACTTACAAATACAACAAAAATTGTCTTCTGAAAAACTTTATAAAAGGAAGAAGAGTCTTCTAGATCAACTGATAGAAGACATAGATGAAATTACTAGTATTCCTTTCTTTGATTTGAGCTTACCCAAAGAAGTGGGATTACAGATTTTCACTGACTTAGAAATCAAAGACCTTTGTGGCTGTGCTCAGGTTAGTAAGGCCTGGAAAATTCTGGCAGAGGATGAACTGATATGGTACAACATAGCTTGCAGACGAGGTTATATTCAAAAGAGAGACTCTGCCACTATAGACAGAACAAACTGGAAAAGATTTGTGCGAGATAGCATTTTAGACGAAAGAGAATTGAGAAGGAACTGGAAGGAAAGAATTTGTAAATTGTCCAGTTTGGAATTTGAAAGAGGTTTGCTGGCAATTAGCTTTTATTTCTTACAAAGGCAGTACTTGTTTCCTCATCTTCCACCTTCTACAGTGAAGAAATTGTGTTAATAGCTTTCATGTTTGATTTAGGAAGGATTAAAATGGATGAAAAGTGGTGAGGGGAGGGTAAAGATTAAAATATTTTTCCTCTCATTCCCCTCCCCCCTTTTTCCAGTTGTCTGAAGAAGAAGAAAAAAAGGTGGGGAGGGAGGCAGCAAAGACAAAAATACCAGGTACCTTATTGTCCCTTCTCCTCCTCATCTTTCTCTCTGCTTGAAGTGGACAGAGACATGAAAGGAGGTCAGTAAAGACACAAGTATTTTTCTTTTCCCTCCTCTTCCCCCTTACTCCACCTTCTTTTTACTTGAATGGCATAGACCGGGAAGGGGGCTGGTAAAGTGGAAATGTACCTTTTCTTCTCTATCCCCCTGACTCCCCTCCTCTTTAGTCTTTCTCACCCTCCTACCCTTGGCAGATGTTTCTTTGTCTCCCAAACTTTTGCCAACTTGAAAAACTAAGATGGTGTTTTCAAATGCTTGCACTGAATTCTTGCTTGCTGGAATATGTCTGACCTGGACCCAATTTTCAACATTAACCTTTAGTGCCTACCCAAAATGTTGAACTTCAGGTCTTGAATTGTTCCTTATGGCAAATCCAATCACAGTGATAAAAATGTAGGTATTCATAATTTATTGGTTTTTATCACACCACATGCCTTATCCCTATTGTTGGGATAGCAACACACAAGAGTCTTATGTACATTGACATAAGATATTCCCAAGACTCAAATTATTATTAAGCAATAAAACTTCCACCAGTGGACATCTTGTACATCCAGGCTGCTGTAGGTGGACATCAAGTATCAGCTCCATTCACTTCAGTTCCTTAATATGTGATTATCTTTCCATAAATCAACACATTTCCTAAGCAACCATTTTTCTGAGTTATCAGATGACTTCTGTAATGTAGTATCATTTCTAACCAAGCAAATATCATCCTTGCTTGTTTTTTTTTCCGCACAGGTGGAGGTCTCTGTGCCGTGTCTGTCCATGGGAATTTGATATGCTCAGGATACTCAAATGGTGCAGTTGTTCTCTGGGAAGGGTATGCTGAAAATGTGTCAAGTTACAGAGAACTGATCTCCTCTGATTCTGTGAACTTGCAAAGACAGAGAGTGCATGTTACGTCCACTACCATCAACAGCATGTTGTGTGTTGCTGGGTTTGACAATGGTATCACATCTTCAGCTAATTAACAATTATTCCACGAGTGCGCGTTGGATATGAGATGATAGATAGCCAACGAGGCGCGTAGCGCCTCGTTGGCTATAATCATCTCATATCCAACAAGTGCGAGTGGAATAATTGCTTTATTAAAAAGGCCCGCAAGAAATTATTTTGTGAGAAGAAACCGGATTTTTTAGCTCCCTTTTGATTTTAAGCTGATGCGTACGCTTACCATATTTGTATATTATGGTATATTGACTCATATACGATAATGGCTAAGCCACTAAAAAGTGTTGAATACCATTATCCAATGATCCAGTTTTTAATAATACTCCTTATTGAGAATTTAGTGATGTATTGAGTCAAATTACTTGTAACTCAAACACCTTTGAGCTACATGCAATAATTTTCTCTACTCTTCTTCACTACCTTGTGGTTGGGGTGAATGGAGGACTGCTCTTCTTTCCTTTGCAAAGTTTTTCACCTGTCTCTGTATTTCCTTTGATGCCACCCAAGAAGACTGTACTCAAAGCTTATATGTTGATTAATTTGAAGCCTACTCTTTACTTTTAAACACCTCCATGTTAAGGGATAAAAGATAAAACGTGTTTACCACTGGAAATGCCCATTGGTTGCCCAGAGGGGAGGGGGAGGGGTTTCAAATTGATTGGTGTGCAATGTTTCATGAAGTAGAGAGATGTGCAACAATCCGATACTCCACTACTTTCAATTAATCAAATACCATTTCCCACGGTACTAACTTACTGGTTTTCACATTTTGAATTTGTAGGTGATGTTTATGCATGGTCCCCTAGTTTGAGTTGTTCACCGTTGTGCCGTTTTGACTGTCATGGATCTGTGAAGAATGTTTCACTGGCCACAAGTGGTCCACTAGCATTTGTAGCCCTGTCAGATCATGAACTCAAGGTACATAACAGTGATGTCAATGGACAGTGGTCATGTGTAGAATCAAGAAATTATGAGGACAAGGTAAGTCAACCTTGAAACTATCAAACTTACCCCAGTACTGAAAGCATCTTGCAATGCAACTCTGATGTTAACTTTTATAATTTCATCCACAGCTTGGCCATGCCATGTTTATTCCAAACTCTGCTTCACACTCATTGCCTGAACTTGTTGCTATTGCAACTCAAGATACTGTGTCAGTCCTGGCACCTGGCAAAGGCTTTCTATCAACAATGGATCATGTGATTGGTGGAAAGTTAACTTGCATGGACTGTACATCTGATCAGCTTGTAATTGGTGTTGGTTCATATGGATATGGAACCCTTGGAAACAAAGTAATTTTGTCGGTATATCTATATCACAGTGTAGTTTAATAGTAACCATATAGACAAAGCCTATCAAAATGGTTAATGGATAGTGATTAATATGGCAAAACCAAACCAAAGAGTTGTTTATTAAAAGCACAAAAAAGGGAACCAGAGTTCAAAAACTGAAAATAGGGGACATCCCTCAAAACTTTGAAAACCTTGGACAAGATAAATTATGGTTCAGATCATAATTAGCTTAGTTATAAACTCACAGGTTCAAAACATAAATTGTTTGCTAATACAGTTTTACTAATTTTTAGGTTTAGCATATGCCCTTGGTAATGGTCTATCCCTTGAAGAAACTAGAGGGAGGGTGGCCTATTAAATTGAAATGATCAAATTTCTCTCCAAGTGACTGAAAAACATGTGAAACAAACAAAAAACGCTTTAAATTTTCTGTTGTGGACCTCAAGTTTAGTGATTGAGTCATCTGTAACTCGCAGTATGTTGTCAGTTTTGCCCTAAGCTCTTCCTGGAGCATAGGCCATCTACAATTTTCTTCTCCACCTTGTCCTGTCCCGGGCAAGCTTTTCGCATGTGGTCCTGCTGTGACCCCAATATTGTTCGTCTCTGCCTGAACATCTTGCCGTCACTTGCTTATTTTTCACAAACACGTAGTATTTTCTTGTGAAGAAAAGTTCTCTGTGTATGTATACTTTGTCGCATTGTTAAGCTAACCGATTTTAATCCTTTCTCTCTGATTTTTAGGTGCGTGTTTACAGCCTGGAAACTTCAAAAATGATTTCCATTTTAGGATCTCATTATCGCGAGATCACTTGTCTAGATCTAGCCAATTGCCCACCACATCGTCTCGTGACTGGCAGCTACGATTGCAGGGTTCGTGTGTTTGACCTGCGCAGTGAAAAAATTGCGCATTCATTTCACTTGGGACACAAGCGAGCCGTCACTACGGTGCAAATGGACGATTGGAAAGTGGTCAGCGGTGCAGAGGATGGAACGTTGGTGGTCTGGGATCAGCGAATGACGTCAACTTTGTGGACGACTCATGCGCGGCATCCTGTGAGACTTTGCAAATTTCAAGGTTCCCGGATGATCACGGCTAACATTCCACTGGATCAAACACCACGTGAGAATCTTTGGTATGCAGATGATTTGATTCTTCATCGACGTCATCGAGGAATTATACGTACGTTTGACTTTTCGGCGAGCAATGCTACTGAGGGAATCCCAGAAATTTGCTCTTCAAATTACGACGACACCAGTGGTTACAACTATAATATTAAACTGAGCGTGCCATACGACAGAATAGAGGTGTAAGGCTTTGAAAAGAATGTGCATTTCCTATGGACATAAGAACATAGTCCTCTAGTTAAGCTCTCTCTGGATTTGCAAACCCCTTTTTGTAGTGGTTGCATATCACTTTTGTATCACTCGAATTGCAAAGCAATTCCTAAAAGCTACCACTACTCTGTAAGTCAATAGGAATCAGTGAAAAGTCAATGGGCTGAAGACTGGTGTTTCTTCGGCTTCAATTTTGCCATGCTCTGGTTGAGTGGCGGTGGAAAATTCTCCCATCGAAACATCTTACCTATCGAAGCTACCTTTATTCCAGACTGTACTCCAATGGCATGTGCAACACGACTGAATACCCTATCTTACTGATAGTGACATGCTACACAATGTTTATGTTACCGGCCGCGGAATAGCCTGCGAACAGTTTCCCAGCTTGGAGGGCTTTCCCCTGCTTCGCGCCCTCCAAGCCGGGAGCCTGTTCGCAGGCTAGCCGCGGAAGGAGAGGTCGAAATCATTTACATTGAAAGCAAACATACAAGCAATATGACGGACCAAAACGAACCTCGTGCGTTTAATTATTCTTTTTGCCATGGCAACTCGTGACAAATACGTTTACATGGGAAGGGGAGGGGTGGTGTCCGTTTTCTCAACTTATCCTTAACATTTACACCTGTGGATGTCTAGGTCCAGGGTTTTAGTTTGGCGGTACAGGCGTAAGAGCGGAGCGAGCGCGAAAACGAGAGGGACTAAGGAAGGGGGCGAGTGAGGGTCCTTCCATCGCTCTTACTCCTTTCGTTACTCTTTCCCAGATGTCCTCCAAATACTAAGATGCTAGCACGGGAAGGATTTGAAGGAAAAAACTTTCGAGGTCGCGTTAAGTGAATTTGGCACCGTGTGGGGGAAATGAGCGGAAGAAAACGTATTTAAGGCTACAACCACTCTTTGACTGTCGGGACAATAGGCTCCGTCCCTAAAAATTGTGCTTTATTGTTCATTCAGAGCGATTTGTTTGGTTACCGGAGGCTTATTCCCATCATCGTCCTACTGTTAGCCTGAAAAACCTATCTTCTACCTTGCGATAGGCGTGACGATTTCCTACAGAAAAATCAGTCATAGTTCGGGGTTCTTGTGGAAACGACAGCGAATTTCTGTCACCGGAACATGCGGCATGAGACGTCCTCTCTGTACTGCACCACAACGAGTTTGTTTTTCACGATTACCTTCCAAAACTCGGACTTTCTTCTATACCATAGGCATGAAGACGGTATTTTGTATTACTAGGTTGCTTTGATGGAATGAATGCCTCTTTTTGATGTGTTGTGGACTTGAACATTATTGGACAGTGTTCAGTCAAGTGGACTGTAGTCCGGATCTGGAATAGGAACGGGATCAAAACCAGTTTCCAAGGTGTCTCTTCTTTCCATGGCTGAAAGGGCCTTGGGAACGAGGTTGACAAAGAGGGGCCTAAATAGGATAAGCCTCTTGAATTGCATTCACAAATAACTGACGAGGGAATTCGGCGTTAAATTGCACGCAGAAACCGATATCAAGTGCAATTAATACGGAATTCACGATTCAGGTAACGAATATTCCTTGAATCGCATAATTGAATAAAGATAAGAAATAAAAAGAAAACAGCAATAATATTGTTTGATTTTATCCTGAACGCGAGACATGAGATGCGAAACAGTATCACTAAGCCTCATTTTCAACTCGCAATTCCACGCTTAGTACCTCGCTTCGTATAACCATTCAGAATATATGCGAGATTTTATTAAAATATGCGACTCTATAAGGATATGGTCTATGTAAGGTGAGCTTCTCTAAAACGCTGACGGATATGGGACCCAAACGAAGAACCCCCACAAAAACTTGGCAGAGTGACCCCTCCCTTCCACGGGAGTTAAGCGCGCGACCCAGGCCAGTAATCTACTCTAATTCGGTCGAGAAACATTTAATACTTTCAAGAGCATCATATAAAACTGAGCTTATGGGCATTTAAACATCGCATTCCTTCTAATCATGTCAAGTGTTATTACTGAGTTAAAAGCAAAGCTTCATCTCGTCACTCAAAGCCGTCTAATGGAATGTCTGCCTACTGGATCTTTATCGCTCCCAGACTAATTAATTCCAGAACCGACACATGTTATCGCAATCAAAAACCAATTGAAAGAAATGCCAGGTTGATGCACTTGATAAAGTGGTTATGGGTTGATAATCTTGGACGTAAGCGCCGTTGTGGCTTGCTCCTTTGTCATCGAGCGTGCAAAAGGTCACTTTGCCCTCAAAGTAATTTTAAATGATGCACGAAATTAACGCGGGTTAAAATCATTTCAAGCAGTGACTGCGATGTACAAAATCAACGAAAATCCAATCGTAAAAGACTGAGATAAAACCCTTTCTGATAGTGAACTCAATAATGGGTAATGATAAGGATGGAAGGAAAATCTCGGATGGATGTCAATATCTGAGCAACTTCGCACCACCTCTCCCCTGACGGACCAAACAACAACCCTAACTTGTTAGAAGTTGACCGTTGTTAGGTTAGGGGAGGGGTAGGTGCGCAGCTGTTCAAATAATGACGTAATCCCATCACTAGTGGTCCTCGTAGGATGTATAATGCTGAAGCCATGGATGTAGAAATTGGATAGGATTGCGAAGGAAAAACGATGACGACTTTCCCTTACAATCGAATCAAGAAGGAAGAACCTTGAAGTCGTTCCCTTACAATCGTAGCTTAATACGACTTGTATGTGTCCTGGTTACGTTCAGGTAAATCACTGACAGGGCGCTACTTCGATTGAAAAGCATTGAATTGGTTTAACAGTGTGAACTTCAAGCTAAAAAATCACACGCTGTCGACCGTGTAGAAACGATCCACGACCAAGAAACACTGCGTCTGAAAAAAAATCACTTCATGGATAAACCTTTTTCGACTTGGGCGCGTGCGACTGCCAACATTTTAAATACTAGACAGCGGATTTAGAAAACGTTAACAGGAATAGAAGAATGGAAGGAAGGAAGGAGTAAATGTTCCATCCACACCTATATCTAGGAAGGAGGGGGGGAGGGGCATTCGCTTTTCTCGACTTGAAAGACCCTCATGTGATTGGCAAATGTAAATGGCACCTAAATATCGCTGGATGACGTCAACTGACTTCGTTTCGAGAGTGACAGTAGGCGCCAGGATTAGTGCAGTTTACAGGCTCATGAAGTTCACCAGCGGTTGACTTCGTGACCGGGAATTGACAGGCGCGTAGTTTCCTCTCGCAAAGCGGAAACACTTTTCTTTTCATGCACGGCAATCAACTTCTTAGAAAGCGTTTCCACATCATCTGCTCAGTTTTCTCTCCAGTTTTCTATGAGCTTACCTGAGAATAAGGAAAATGCAAAATCTTTTTAAATCTTTATGAAGAAGTTCTTCTTGTTCTGAAGTTCAATGAGTCTGGCTTCCATATGCATTGATAGCTGCAAGAACTCATAGTGTGCAAAATGTCATTCGCTCCAGTTAGCGAGTCAGAAAACTAACTCTAATCCGTTTTTAAGTAATTTATCTCCATCCCTACCCATTTCCTTATGGTTCATTCATACATTCTTGGTCTTTGACTACTTTCACAAATCATTAAATAAAATTAATTTCTTTCTTTAAATAATTTTAATTTTAATTGCTTTCTTTAAGTAAAAGGCAATATACTAATAATTTACTGAGCCTCTTAAGCCATGAATTTCTGAGAAAGGATCTGCAAAATACTAATCGAGGCACTTAATCCGATGAGTCTCTATAAAGCCTGAGAGAAGGCCCTTATTATCACTGCTGACCCCCTCGCTGACCTCTCGCCGGCTTGCGCTGTTCAAGGGCTCATATTTTCCCATGGCCGAAGGAACATTTTTGCTGAAGCGCTGATAATGAGGGCCAACTCGCAGGCCAGTCTCTACACGAATTATTTATTGGGTCCAGATAAAGAAAATCTGCTTTGCAGCTAAAGAAATAAATTACTAACTTTAATTTGAGCAGAATTTAAGTTCTTTGAACGAATTCACCGCCCGCGTTCTTTTTTGAATGCGGTTGTAGAAGCAGGTGTTGATCTGAAACAGGTGATTGTTTGACAAATTAGCATGTTCAACCAAAGCTGGCAGAGAGTGGTTTAACACGGCTTAAAAACTGACACAAAAACATTAGTATTCGTTTAAAATGCGTCCAAGAAATGTAAAGCATTTGTCAATGGAGAAAGTTTTTCTCGCTAAAAAAGCGATTTAAGATTCTGAACCGGCAAAAGCCATTTCCCAGATGAAGAAATCATTAAAATAACGCGATTAAGTTGAGGGTTGTTAACAAAATTGAAGTTTTTCGCGTCTTTTTGCGAAGGAAGAGCTTCAGACAACTTTTCATTAACATTCGAGGCTTTGTCATCAGAATATCGGCAAGAATAAAAACTTCTGTCGGTTTTCTTGAATTATTCACTTTGGAAAATCAAATTGTCGCGGATGCCTTTTGCCGAATATCTGAATCCGACACGTTTGTAAATGGCTGTGTTATGCGGGTTTGTGTCCGACAGTAAGGAGCCAATTCGAACGATCAAAATCTGTGGTTGCCCATTTTCGCGCTTGGAGAGTCTCTTCGAGGCAGATGGCACAATTATGTGAATTTTGTTTGTACCGGCTTTTCACTCTGATTGCGGCGAAATGTTCTACGTTAGTCTCGAACATGCGACTAAGTGCAAGGGTATACACCATTCTCATTAACATGCGTTAACTGTTGGGCCTTTGTTTTGAAAATCCGTATGTAAATAAACACTTGCAAATGGGAGTGTTTTGACATGTTTTAGTGACAACAACATAAGGTTTATCACGAGATAAAGTAAATCTCGGCAACAAAAGCTTTTCCGTTTCGATCGGAGTCTTACAGCCGCCTGCTTTACTGATAGCCCTGATACTGATCGAATTCGGCGTAAAAAATGTTCTGGCCGTCGGAAACATCTGAAATCCAATATTTAAGCGCACTGCGGTATTTCGGCGATGCCACGACTTCCTTTTGAATGTCACCGATCACGGGTTGTTCAGTTCGGCGACGACGCATTCGTGGTTGAATCGTTACGAGACTTGGAGGCGCTTTTGAGCTCATGATAGCAGTCAAAGGGAACAAAAGACAGACAAAAGATGTTCAAATTGTGCGATTTTTCCGAGTTTACATAATCCTAGTCAAACAATGGTGTGTTGAAAGTTTGGCTCGCGCCCACAAAGACTCTCCATGTCATTGGCTTTTGTCAGAGTGCTGTCAAATTTGAACTGTCAATTCCTTTTGACAGGCGGAGTCAAATTATATCAAAAGGAGAGCGCGTAAATGTGTTGTCTTTCAACAAGCTAATTGACAACTAGCAAGGCGGCCTAAGTGGTTCTATACCGCGCGCTTTCATCCATCCACTTTGCAATTGCGTGCACCAAACTATATGCAAATTTTGACCGCGGAATAAACTTCAGCGTTGGTTTTTAGAAAATCCGCAAAACTCCCTCTTGGATCGGTTTTTACCGTCCCGTTAAGCAGCTGGCATAGTGCAAAGCACCACCCACCGGGCACGTAGAAGAGTTACTTGCATAAATTTCACGCTCACGGCACCATACTTTACATAAACGTATATACACCCGGAGAAGGTGAGGAAACGAAAGAAACGACCGAGTCTTCTTGGCTTCATGAAGGCACAGATCTGCAAAATGGTTCAACAGTGCGCGGGATGTGAACTGCCCATCTCCGATAAATTTCTTCTGAAGGTTCTGGATCGCGTCTGGCATGTACAGTGTGTCCATTGCTACGACTGCAAATGTGCACTCACTAATAAATGCTTTTCCCGTGAAGGAAAGCTGTTTTGTAAGAATGATTTTTACAGGTACGTTACTCACAATCGGTCGAAATTTCACGTCCGGCAGCTGAGCTTTAGTCTTAGTCAGCTCTGCGGTAAGCAGCAAAACGATTAATTCGATCATGGTGAATATTGTACAGACTAACTACCCTGTTCTTCTTTTAAATCTTCAGGCGTTAGGGGACAAAATGCGCTGGATGTTCTTTAGGGATCTCGCCGAACGACATGGTCCGCAGAGCTAAACACTTGGTCTTTCACGTGAAATGTTTCAATTGTTCCAGCTGTAACCGGCAAATTTTGACCGGTGATGAATTGTATTATGTTGGAGAAAGTAAATTCGTTTGTAAAGATGACTACTACCAATCAAACTTCCAGTCGAAGCAATCCGGTGAGTGCAAAAGGAATTGGTTTGTTTATTAATACACAAACGGTTATTTAATCTTAATAGATCTAATTTTTGCGTGCATGTGTACGGGTGCGTTGTATTTTTTACAGACTCGGACTCCGAAGAGAAAGATTTAAGCTATGGTTTAGACGAAGACTTAGATGTGGCGCTTGGTACCAAACGCCGCGGTCCGCGGACAACCATCAAAGCAAAGCAGCTAGAGGCACTCAAAGCAACCTTTGCCGCAACTCCGAAACCGTCGAGGAATATCCGCGAAAAACTTGCGCAGGAGACGGGGTTAAACATGCGAGTCATTCAAGTCTGGTTTCAAAATCGTCGATCGAAAGAAAGAAGGCTCAAGCAGCAAGGAGTCGCGCAGCCAAATGCAACGCGCGCTGTACGATCAGGCCGGCGATCAAGGAGGGCTAGAGGCGAAAACCTTGGAAACGAACCTACCCCAAACAACGAACAGTCAATCAACACATCACATATAAATTACGCAGGTAGGCTTAGAACTAACCATGTTTACTTTTCTTCCGTGTTGCAGTTTTCTTTCAGGAAAGAAAAAAAAATCTTGCGGTTCCTATATTACACTGCACCCTTGATCGTGTATTAGACACGGCACACTTTCACCTGACAGGCAACGTGGCGGAAAATATCGCTGAAATTTAAATGGATAGCGCTCTCGAGTTTGTATTTAGAAAGCACTCGAAACCTCTTCAACCTGATAACCAGCTACAGATCACATGACAATCTACCCTTGTGAACTGATCTGCAAAAACTTGCGCAGTTGCCCCTAGCGATGGAGAAATTTCTCAAGAACGTTTTAATCAGCGCTCCAAGATCGTGTCCCCAAGAAAGCTTCCTGATTGCTTAAGCGTTGTTGCAGATAACTCAGGGGCAAACCATCAACCGAGTGTCGCACAACTGAAACTAAAAAATGTTTCCTCAAATTTTGGCAAGTGACCAAAAGATACTAAAAATCACGAATTTGAATAACTCGAAACCAGCCTATAAACCTCCCATTGTTTTAAAAAGGGATTATTCAACCATTTTGCCTGTCTCACAATTTTAGCACATTTATGAGAACCGACAGCTGCAGCAACAAGTTTCGTGCAGAAACAACGAAGCTTTAACACAAAATGTTCCCAGCTAAAAATAGCGTACAACATGCAACATGGAAAGACTGACATCCAACACAAGTCGGCAGGAAATGGCGAAATGGAAATGTTATTGATCTCGAGTTTTGTTTAGTGATAAGGGATTTACAGAGGAAAAATTCGTTCATCCCTTCTTGACAAAGCCTCTGTTGTATGTACTAACTCAGTTAAAGCATTACAAAAATTCCCAAGCCTACGTATGGTGTTTCATGTGAATTGGGCCTTTTACGATTCGCGAAATTCTGCGCTGTTCGATATTTTCCAAAGATTTCGCGTTACTTGTAAAACAAACTCCCCACTGTTTAAACCTTCCATTCTTTAATAATTCAGAAGGTTTGGCATTTAGCTTTTGGAAGTCAAAAGCTGTTCCCATCAAAAAGCACCATCTTTCCAATCAAACGAAATCTCTAGGGGACAATTTTAATTCGTTTTTCTGCGGGAGCGAGTACAGATTTTTCTAACCACACTTTATCGAAAATTTTCTTGGGCAGAGAGTCGCACTTGTTTTTTTTTTTTTAAATGATTCGACTCAAGTGGAGGTCAGACCATTAAATTTCAACATCGATCACGAAATTGAAATCCGGCTATCTGGACTGAGCTGAATATTACTTAAAAGATCTTTGAGTGTAAATCAATCTAACGCAAAAAATACTGTTGGAAAAGAGAGACTTTTGAAATAACTATCGGATAAATAAGGAAAATTTTTTTAGGATGAGGACCAAAGAAAATTAGGGGAGGACTTTATAATTTACCAATGAAACTCGACATTTGACTTTTTACCACCAAAGCGACTTTTTTATAAACACAATCTTACGAATTTTGCTATCGTTTTCCTGTGATCTTTCCTTCAGCTTTTTTTTTTTGTTTCTTTTGTTATAGTTATCCCGAAGACCGATATCAACGAAATGTTCACCGTCAAATGTAGTTACGTCGGGATATAAAAGCTCACATTGAAATTCGGAAAATTCCACCTTCCATATTGTTTTTATATCTGACAAATTCGTCAAAATTTACATTCATATCTGCATATTTTGGAGTGTGCTAAGGTCCGCTTTTTTAGAAAAATATCTTTGTACACGTTAAGTGGCTTTTAAGACGGTTGAAGAGGCGCAATATTAAAGCATATCCGATAAAATGCCGCCTTCTCTTCTCATCTAATGGAAAAGCAATCCTGGGTATGAGCCTACTCAGTTTGGTGTGTCTCTCGCTATCTCTTCAAAACCACAATGAGTTTGTTTATAAAGTATAATTCAACAAAAATATAGATTAAGAGAACTTTGCGAGGTATTCCGTGTTTCGTTCTATAGATAAGGCGCTCTAATGCGAATTTAAGGCTTGGTTTTATCACAGGATAAGCTTATTTGTTTGACATTTCTCACGTTTTATTTCTTTCTTTCAAACGTTTAGCTTCACAAAGTGCACATTTTCCGGCGACGGCCTTTGATGAGTTTTACATGAAGGGTGATGTTGGCTTAGCGAGCGAAGTTTCCGCGACAATGGACAATTCTCAAATGATTCAGAATCCTGGATTTAACACTCAAGGAATAATTCCTGTTAATTCTGTCAGTCTGGATAACAGTACGGGAATACAAATGAATCATTGTGGTGTTGGTCAGAGCCCAAATGGTGGACTTTACGACACTTCAGCGGCGAGGCAACAAAACACAATACCTTCTACAGCCGAGGTTTGGTGAAAGCATCAGTGATTCAAAGGGATTCATCCCTAAATTGTAAAGGTGCCAATGTATTGTATAGAAAGGAAAAGAAAGAGTTATTTAATGCATAGGAACAAAGCCTGCCTTCTCTCTGATAGTCTGTTCCAAGTGACTTGGAATCTGTGTAATTTTCTAATAACAAAAAGGAACAAACGACCTCTAGCCTACGTGGCGAGCTATTTTTATTCACTCTGGCGAAACGGACCGAGAAGAACACCCAGTTATCGTTTGATCAATTAAAAATGCCGCTTGAGAGTTCGCCAGGCCATTAGGAAAGATTAAGTAAATAAAACAGTTTATTGCCTTGGGGCATAGAGCCACAACCATGTTATCTACTCAACCTGAAGCACACAGGCTGTAAGGAAAAAAAAAAGCCGAGTAAAAATGAAAATTTATCACGAGTTATCAAACGAAATGTTGTAATATAAAGCGATTTGAGAGACAAAAAAAATTAACATAAGAGATTGTTCCCTCGAGGAACTTGTGTACGAAATTGTGAATGTCTTCAAAGCTATTTTATAATTTTAGTGTGAGCTCATTCAACCGACCGACCGATCTCAGTCGCTGAGGTGCATATAAAGTTAACATCCCTCGCCAAACACTAAGCGTAAAACATACCACAGCTAGCTACAGTGTTGAACGAGAAATTTAATCACTTTTCTGTGACATAGAAAATAATAATAATAAAAAAATTATTATGCAACAAACTGTTTGTTCTAAAAACTTGTGACTTGAATTCAGACGAAATAAAAAGACTCTTAGTCAACAGGTGTATGTCATATGTTTATCTATACTCCTTGTTTCAGTATAACTGTTTTACACAACTCCAAAGAATTTTTCCTTACCAAGACGTTTCTCTCGTTAAAAAACACTCGCAGAAAAACATCGAAAGTTTTATTGCATCGCCTGCAAGTTGTAAACGAATTCGCGCGAATGCGATGAGGCAATAGTCACGAACTCGGCCTTTATTTTTCGTGCACCGATAAAAACTTAGCAGTGTTAAAATTCCCTTTGTTTAGTTCGCCTTTTTGTACGTTTATTATAAAATGAATTATTATTACAGAGTCCTTTTGAAAGCTTCCATCAAAGGCACCTTAGGAGCCTCAAGAATGCGGTAAGTGAGTTCGTACGGATAAAAATTCGTGCAGTTTCCCGCACGATTGATTGCAAAACAAGAACGCCAAAACAAGGCTTCAAGACGGAACTGCTTTTAAAAAGACCCTGGCGGGCGGGCGTCAGCAAAGGCCAAACACATGGAACTTTCTAAAAGACCACCCAATGTTTTGCAAAACACTCTCCGGTCGATCTTTTAAAAGGCAAAGTAAGCTCATGTTTAATGTAAGAGTGTCAAGCGAAGCTTTTTAAACCAGAACACTTGAGTTGAGCAAAATCAGCGGGAGGTTGATGACTACATTTCCGTAGCACAGCCATGTAGTAGCCAGCTTTTGTTTCGTGACGACTAAGTCCCGCCTCAATCAAAGCACCGAGCAAAAAACAACGCGCTTGCCGAGCGAGGTTTTCGAACACTCCCTAGGTAGAAATTCCGAAAAAAAAAAATTGGCTCTAAAAAGTTAAAATCAGTTGAAAGGTGTGGGTTTAACTTCGTGAATGAACAGGAAATTCAATAATTCTGTTCTAATTGATTGTAATTTTTCAAAAACGCAACGACAAATTTATGTACATATTTAGCCTGCCCCCAAGCAGTATCCTCCATTCTTATGAGTATAAATAGCATTTACTTTGCAAATGGACAGCTCTCGCCCTACGTGAGAGAGCATGCACTTACCTTCAATTAAATCTATACCGTCAGAAATGTTTAGTCCGTGTCTGACGACAGGTGAAACTCTTGGTAAAATTTGTATCGCTAATGACAAAATTAATTCAAAATGCTTTTGCCTTTTCCTATTTTTCACTTGTTTTTATCGCGTGCAAATAAGTAGCAAGAAATGCCTCAAGCAAGATTTGACCTTCTACGCGAACATCCGGTTTTTCTCTCATTTGACTCGCATCGACCACATTTTAACAACAAAAACCCACTAATGTTCAATTGAAAGGTAAAGTGCACTTGCCAGCTAAGTACAAGAACACCTTGCAAATTCAAATTACTCAAGGTTACATCAGCGAGCGCGGCCCTGTTAGCGTATTGAATATACTGAATCATTTATGAAATTTCCGTTGGCGTTAAAACTCATTTTTACTGTTGACGGGCAATTACAGCTCGGGTAAACATTCTTTCTCTCTTTAATTGCAAAAGAACAGGGTAAATATTAAAAAGTTCTTTAAGCGAGGCGGTTTGTTTGGTTGTGTCGACTAAGTTTAAGTGTTTTCTAATAAAAACCTCTCAAGGGACATTATTAACATTTCCTTTCATGCTTAAAAGTTTTAAGCGACATCACTCTTACTAAAAAATCCTTACCGCTGTAATTTCAAGCTTCCTTCGCTTTGAGTCCAGTAAAAGAGTTCCAACGCATGGAATTACAATATGTTTAAAGCCCTATTTCCGTTCCAAGTTGTACGCTTTCAAAAAAACTGATTCAGAAATCATACATAAATTTCAAGCCTTGAAGCTTTTTCCACGCATTTAGCTATGTTCCACGACACAAAATTACGATGCGAAATAGCAAGCAAAATTAGTCCAGCTCTGAAATTCCATCCTAATCTTTAACGATGTTTTACATCTACAAAGTGATATTGACGGGGAAAGAAATTGTATAGAATATATTGATCGCATATAAAACTAATGTTCAAAAGATGTGCGACTCATTCCGCACAAAATTGAAAGAACTCTGACATATTAGTATTGTGAATGAAAAAAAAAAATGTCAGGTTTTTCTTCCCTACAGGCGAAGCCAATCTTAATTTTCCCCACTAACCATTAAGCCTTCTTAATCTAACTTAAACAATTGCGTCTCGTGTTTTGGAAAAAAGGATAATCTACAAAACTATGCAACTGGAGAACTTTAAGTTCACTTTTCATTGCAAAAACAGAAATGCAACAAACCGAATTCAGTTGTTATATTATTAAATGTATTCGCTTACAGGTGTCTATCTGAGTGGAAAGTAAGATAAAAGAATCTGGAAGCATTAACAAAAGCTTTCAAAGTATTTTGACAAACCCACGCATCTAACAAAATTAACCAGTAGAGTAAGCTTTCTTCATAACTTAGCCTTGTGGGACCAAACGGTACAGCGAATTATCATTATTTTTAATCTAAGTTAAAATGTACTGAAACAAACAGCGCTGACTTCTGATTTCAGCCAAGGAAATAACCTTGAACGTTCTGATCTATTTTGATAACATTTCCTACAGACAATATTATTCTAATATATTGTCGCCTGGAATAAAGACAGCTAAAGGAATTAAAAGGAACAATTGTTGGTTTTCTTAATATAAAATCAACTTGAGGCTTAACAAAGAGTGGTTACCCATGGAAACATGCTTTGACCCCAAGTACGCCGTTTCACTATTCATGGTGTTTTGTCGACATCACAAAAACACCGCAATAGCTTTTAGTTAAGCTGTTAAACGTTCAATAGGTATTGTCTTGACATAGGTAATGCCTTCAACCGTTACTAGAGGGATTTAACAACGAAGACAAACAACAACTCCAGTTCTTTACACCTCATAGAGTTGCTTGGTTTTAAAAATAAAAGAAAGAAATCTTTTTATGTCGAGACAACAACTTAGATATTGTTTGCGTCTTGAAGTTCACTTAAAAATATTCGAAGGCTAAAAAAAGCGATGAAACAATAAGGGAGAGTCCATTCTGTTTTCCCTCCTTGAAGAGGTTAAGTTTATTCGCAAACACCTAATACAGTCGCAAGTAGTTTTGCTGCAACACAACCATATAAAATATATGTACAAGACTAAAACAGCAGCTTATGTAAAGAGACAAGTTTACTGGAACGTTTTTAATGCACGTAACTCATGCAAGCTCTCCGACAACGCTGTTCTCCTTTATTTCTCTAGGGAGAGAATGGCAAATTTTGACACCTTGATAACAGCTAAAAATAGAAAAGTAAACAGGAGTAGCTATTCCGTTTCCGGAATAGCTACTCCTGCTGAATTGTCCCACTGATGTATATATATCCTGAGCTGCTGATGTCGCTACTTGAGATTTATCTCATTTCAAGATCTTCTCTTGAAGCAAAGTTCAGTTCTTGCAATTTTCAACAAATCCCAAATAGATACTAGATTTTAACCCTTCTTTTTTTGTTTCAGAGAACAGAGATACCCGCTAAATAATCAACCTCTGTCTCAATCTAAAGAAAAGTTGCCAAACTTAAGGTAAAACGGGACAAGTATGTCAGCTCTTTACACGGAATTTTCGACACTGTTATCTATGACCCTAGGTGATTTGATAACAAACTTCAATAGCCCCAGGATCTTTGGAAATCTCCCTACTTCCTTTGTATGACAAAAAAACAAAGATTCCCAGAATTTTCAGTTGCCAAAAGTAAACGTGTGTCTCTAGCCCCGTTAGAGCCTTACATGTCCATATAAAACGTTAATGAAGAGCAGGGATTGTCAAGAAAAGGTCGAATAACGAAATCTAATCAATAAGTTTGGGAAATCTGGACTTCCATCGTTTGACTGATTTAAAAAATAGCGAATGTATATCTTGAAAAGCTTAAAGTGCATTAGCAAACTTTCAAATTTCAACAAAGCTACAAATTAGTAAATACTGGCTATCAAAGAAGTTTGACTATATTCGCTCAGAATAGCTTTAGGGAAATTTCTTTTCCAGCAATTTATGTCTTTTGGAAAGAAACAACTACAACTGTTTTGAAACCAACGAAGAGCTGCTTTTCTTTATCGCTGGAGAAAAATGTTTCTCGTTTAGAAAAAAGGAGAACGTTATTTAAAAGTTTCATGAAACCATCCCATCTTGGGTAAAGATTCTACTTTTTAATTAAAGAAATATGTCTCCAGAAAATTCTTGTTTTTAAAAATTGGCTTGTTTTCCTTTTCAATTGCACGAGACCATCAATAAATACTAAACATCATTGGTCTTCTCGGAGAAGGTCAAGGTTTCTTGGACTATTTTCCAGCGAATAAAACCGTTTTCTCGATCAAAACTGTTGATTCTAGAACAAGCTTCCGTAACGATTTCGTTTACTTTATTGTGTCGCCAACTCCCAGCTGATAAAACACCGCTGTTGTTTGGTAAATATCGCTAAACAGTTTCTACAATGATTTGTCAAGAGAATTCTACTTATTGTCGGTCATTATTAACATACGTCTATTTTGTTTAAGACAAGAAAGAGTACAAACGTGACTTTTGATGAAAAATGCTATAAAAACACTCGGAACTGGGTGAAAAAGAAACGCATCAGCATTACATAAATTTTCCCCTTATCAATTTTTTATGTAATTAATTACTATTCACTGCGCATGCGTAAAATATTATTTAGTTAATTTAACCCCTGGTAAAAGAATCTCTTAAATCGGAGATCTAGAAGACACCCACGAAAAGCAAGTACGGGTATAATAAGCTACAACATAAGGTGCCAACGGTAGAGTAGAAAGAGACGTCCCACAACTGAGCCAAGAACCAATTGTGATCATATAAATCGAACAGTGGAATATTGACCGAAGTGGGTTGGGCGAAATGCTCGCTAAAGGGGCTACTATCGAGGAACTTGATTTCCTGCTCACGCCCCTGGGAAGGTCTGAGACAAAGGCCGTTGCCTATCCTAGATGGATACCCTTGTAACTATAGGGGTGGATCACTAGAAACAGGCTCGGCGAGTTGCAATTGGCAGATGAATCCTTTCTGTTACAGGAGGGAAAATGCCAGCAACTGCGTCAAAGTTGGAAAGGTTCCACGGCCAGCTTAGTTAGTTCAATCGGCGAGGTAACACCCCAGTGGCTGTTATAACTCAATTCAGACTACTCTTCGTCCAATCCACATATTTTTCGTTTTATTTTGGTTCGTTTCCATCAGTTTCCATCATTTCCAACACTTGTCAACACTTTTCGCTTCTCCCTCTCACTAGTTTTTAGCTTTATTTCTTGCAGACTAGCACAAAGTAAGTGTCAGGAGAACATTCAGAGAAATTAAAAAAAGTTCATTGTCTTGTCACAAGATACCGTCTTCACTCGCCGTTGACTTTTTTCCTAGTAAAGGATTATATCGACTTCCCTAGTTCTCGTAAAGCTGAGAAAGTAGATTCCTGTAACCAATTGTCAATTGTTTCACCTCAAAACTGTTGAGAAAATTTGATGTTCATCCATACCACATCATAGAGAAGTGTTTACAGTGAATTTCATGTCTTGTCCTCTTCAAGCGTTAGGCTGGCGAGAAGAAAAACGGCTTCGTCATCACAGCCACGGAAATTGACGGCAAAAATTCAAATTCGTGGCGAGTTATTTTCTGCGAGACATGAATATGCGTTCCTTGAGAGAGGCCCTCGCTCAAAATACTTCTTTTATTCCCTCGTTGGACCATATCTTGGAAATTACATCGGATAACTGGGACCGTAGAGAAACGACTGCCTGCTACAGAGTATTGCTCAGTCATTCCTGCATTTCTGAGTCGAGAAGATCGTCCAGAATATCCTTCTTTTTCTTAGCGGCTTTTGGAGCTGAAGACAAAGTTAAGGGAAGAAATACCGGCAAGAACAGCAAACAACAACCAATTAATAGAGTTAGAATATTTTTGTTTCACTAGAAACGACACCTCCGTCAAACAAATCCAAATCAACCGAAAAAAAAAATGAAACAAAGAACTTTATTTACAAAGGATACTGCCATGAAAGTGTTCAGCGGTTCTCTTTCTCAAAGCATCCACGCTGTCTTCGTCCTCGGCCCATTCCAGTACCAGTCTTCGCCCATACAAATGGGTACTGCTACAGAGGGACTCAAACGCGCGCTACAAAACAGAGCCATTTCTTCTTAATGCTCTCCCTCAGACGACAGAAGAAAACGTACTTGCGTTTCAGAAACTGAGAAACCCGAACTTGTGGCTCAGAAAAAGGCGATCAAGAATACAAGCTTCGGACAAGTTCATTTTCTTTTCGTATTTCTTTAACAATGACGTTATGGCATTGCCATAAAAGCTTCAACCATCCCTCAATCAAACCACAGACTCAATGACACAAACGATTCGCGAGCAGCAAAACGGAATGCAAGTTAACATTGTGGTCCTTCTTGGCATGTGTTACTGATCTCCGAGTATTAAGGTTTGCGGATAAGAAGTTCAAATCATTCCTAATACATAACGCTCACGCTCGTTTTCACTTCCAAGAAGGACGTATTGTGCTCCTCAGATAACACTTAACTCACCCACAAATACCTCAACGATAAACTGAAAGACAAATATCTCCACTGCAAACAGAGTAACGTAACAAGCACTTACTTTAGCATCTTGTTTGGTGAGAAAATCAACAAATGCAAATCCTCTATGAGAACCAGTTCCAGACAACTTCTGAGGAAGCCTCAGTGTCTTTATCTCCCCAAAAGTGCTATAATAAGAACAAAAAAAAAAAAAAAAGCTCGTTTAATCAATTCACCACAAGAAATTTAGGGATTTGAAACAACAAAATAATCTATTGTTCCTAAAGACTATCTCCTAGTAGAGCTTTTGGTAATGCAAAATTAATTGAAAGAAAAACGTTTTAACTGAGCGTCTGTGTCCAGTGCTAAAATGACACGAGTGCCGAGGTGAGAAAAAGTTCTCGGTCATTTTCCTTTCCTGACGAGAATTACAAATTTAGACATTTTTGCAAAGTAAAACCATTACTAAAAAATGATGATGGCACTGGATCCAAGTGGCTCATTGCGCCAGAGCTTAACCCGCTCTCCTTAGCATAGAGCACAGATGGGTAATGCTACCCCTCTCCTGGATAGGATGAAAATGTTAGAACCCAGACCCCGTCTCGATAGTTCAGAGTCCACTGAGCTTCCGCATCGGCCAGAAAACCATCATACATACCCAAAAAGTTCTTTGATTTCTTTCTTTGACGCTTCAAAAGGAACATTTCGCACTAGGATTTTAGAACTGGTTTGCTTCTTGGTCGAAGCAGATTTACGCTGTGTTACTTTCTCACTGAAGAAAAAAAAAATAGTAATACAGAAATTGAACTTGAGAGATGACCATCGAACTTGTATGTCGAGGGACTTAAACTGTGTGTTAACTCAAACTATATTTCAAAAACGTGTTTCTGGTAACGCCGATCGCCTTACATTGGTTTTACTCTATGCGCTGGGATTCGTCCAAAATAATCGCGCCACAAATTTAACCAATCAGATACAACGCCCGAACTACACGTGACTCAGTACTAGCCGTTCTCTCGGGCCTCAGGCTGGTCCCGTGAATTTACTTAAGCTTCTCATAGGTTCGTTCGACAATTTGCATTTGTTATGTACGCTGATATAATTGCCCTCACTCGATAACCGCTCGTGCTTAACCCTTTAACACACAAGATTTGAGTATTAATTCGCTACTCTGTCTGCCATTCATTCTTTCCAATTCTGAGCCTGACAATTTGCGTCTAAAACAAGAAAAATTCGCTTGTTTGATAATCTTCCCTGATCTAGTCACTTTTCTTCTTCTTCACAAAGTATTGAAGCTTTTTAACTCGTAAATTCCCACGAGTAACCACGACTGAGTTTCTCCTCATTGTATCAATGCAATATCAAGAAGACAAGAGATGAGAATAAAGTAAATTATTATCCAACTACACTTCATATAGACGAGTACAAATATCACGCGGTATTTGTACTCGTCTATGGTAGAGTACCGGTTAAACAGGTTTTCTCGCATCGCGCAAGCGAAGAATTGGATTGTAGTTACGAAAAAAAATGCGGACAATTTGAATCATATTTCCGACAACGAAGAGTCAGAATGGCTGGCAAATATATAGATCAAAGTTTATGAGACGAATCGAACGAAGAAAAACAGCTTGACAACCAGAAAATTTCTTCATTTAATGAAGGAAATAGAAACAGCAACATGACAACGCGCCAATTCCGTTCCGCTTCGCATACTTCTGTCACGCACTCCCCGTAAATAAATATCCGCGAAATTCGCCCGCACTGAAATAACAGTTTGGCGTGTTGGATAATAAATAACTTATTAGACGTTTTGTTGTGTAGTATCGCTGAGTATTTTTACTCGTTATTTGTATTTTGACTCGCCCTACGGGCTCGTCAAAATACGGCACAACTCGTAAAAATACTCAGCGATACTACACAACAAAACGTCTAATAAGATATATATATATATCAACTAGGGGGTTATTAGTTGATCTAAGTCAAAATTCTCCCAAGTAAATTCACCAGCATAGTATAGCAGACAGTGAGGAGAATTACTAATGGAATAATGGCAGTGAAAGGATTAGGGAGTTACTGCTTCCTGGCCATTTGTGGGATTTCACCTACCTTGGTTTCCTGTGAGACATCTTGAGTTCCAGAGTATAACCTTCGATGAGGGATTTCTGACAAAAACCGAAACAATATTGTTACCAACAAATTTCCCAGCTTTAACTGTAAACTTAAAACAAAACCTTCCACACTCACTCTCCTATTTCACACAAAACATCACCACCAAATGTTTTTAAAAATCCATCTGAATGTTTCGATTATTAGAAATCGATCACGAAACGTGATAAAAAAGACAACGACTTGTTGCCTACTCGTGAAAAACCCGATTCAAGAAGGAATATTTCCTGGAAAATAAGAGCTACCTGTCATTTTCTAGTGGTTAGGAATTTACTAAGGACGGATCATCACTTATTGTCTAGGGGGATGATCTTATCTAATGCTCTGCAGTAACCTGATAATCCTACCTCTTTGGCAGTCAACTTTCTGTACCCCCCTTTATATTCTTTTAGCGACGACCGATCCCCCCTCCGTTCAGCAAAATACCCGTGTGATCCCTGCCTAAAAATTCCTTCCACCTTCACCCACTCCCCGCCCCCTCCCCCCCCCTATAGAATAAATGATGACTGGTTCCCTTAGACTCACGGGTGAGGGATTCGACGGGAAGCGAGTCGCCCTTTTTTTTTTTATCATTTTTACCTTTTTTAAGACACTCTACGATAAATTCAACAAACCTGGAGTTCTGTAATTGCTCGTAAAGCGTCCGATCTTTTCTTGTATTCTACAAATCCGTAACCCATGGAAAGCAAATTTCCTGCAAATAAGGAAAAAAGAGAGTAAGTAAGATGGTGTCTTGTACTGCGTAAGACGAGGACCATTTTTGGGAAATACGAGAAATCATAATTTAAAGCAACACAACGACCAATCAGAATTGAGAATACATCAAAAGGCGCCGATGAGAATTCAAAGAAATAACGAATGAAGCGGTGAAGCGCGGGAAAACGCGGTTAGCAAAGACTGGTTGAAAAAGTAGTGCGAGTTTTCTAGACCAATCACAGAGCGAAGTTAAGCAAAACCAAAGCAATCCTCGACTACTTTCCACACTCAATTTGAAAATGGCACTGGTGGAATACATGATGGCTTAATGGCCGAGAGGCCTGAATCCAAGCCCTGGCCGAGTCGCTGTGTTGTGTTCCTTGCCGGCAGGATATCGTGTCACTCTCACCATGCCTCTCTCTCCACCCAAGAAAAGCAAACGAAATACAGGGCAAAGCGACTTAGTTTTATCAACTGAGTGATAATGTACCTGCATAAAGAGTTTCGTTGCTGACGTTTCGAGCGTTAGCCCTTTCTCAGAGCGAATGACGAAGGCCTAACACTCGAAACGTCAGCTTTAAAAATTCTTTACGGTGGCCAATGTACATTATCAACTCAGTTGATAAAACAAAATTACCTTGTGACCTCCACCGATGCAATACCACAGATTCTTTAGAAACTTATCCCTTGAAATACAGAGTGGTCTTGACCGATAAGGTTATCATAATTATCCCACCCGAAAAGGTTAGATTCACTCCATGTTTTCATGGTCTTGGAGAACTGTTTAGTATAAGAAATATAACCTTATACTCTGTTTAAGAAAACAACAACGACTGCAATCGTCTAAATTGAGAAAGTTACTCCTCATGAAGTTAAACATAAAATATACATACCAGGCTTTTTAGGATCCTTCTTCTTGGCGATTGTTGCCGTAAGCAGCGGACCAATCTTGGAAAATGCCTAATACGAAATCACCACAATTAAACTACTGCGAACAGAACTGCTTTAAGGCGAAGGTTGAAAGTTTTTCTTACTGGAGATTTGGGTGGGGTAAGGCCACGGGGCCTAAGAACCCGATTATGTTTAAGATAAAATACTTTTTTGCTTTTCAACTGTTTTCAAGATAAAAATTCACTGAGTTTGAGGACTGAATAGGAAAATATTTGGCTTGAAGTCCATACGTAACGTTGTGACCGAATGTCAAATATTTATAACTAACAACAAAAGATAAAATGCAATAGACCAAGCTGAGAGAGACTTAACCTCTTTCAGTGTTTCTTCCGATGTTTCAAAGTTCAAGTTTTTCACAAAGACAGTTGTGCCTTCCGCATTTTCTGAAACATCACCGTCATCATCTGCATCATCCGTTGCTTTCTCCTCAGCTGATTCTTTTCCCTGTTGAAAAAAAAAAAAAAAAAAACAGAGAACGTAGTGATATTTTCTACTGGTCTCTTAAATCTCTGAGCTATTGTTGATTTTATTGGTAGAAAAAGAAACTCGGAGCTTAGCTATGAATACCACCTTGTCAGCGGTCAATTTTTGTTCTGTTGCCATCTCTTCTTCCTTCTTTTCTTCAGGTTTTTTGGAGAAAACATCCAAAGGAGCCCACTCCAAGTACAATGGAACATGTTTAAACTGTTATAAAGAGAGGAAATTAATGCCATTAGAACACAGCTGTCTACTGGTAAAACAAAATCTTAACAGAGGACGGATGGCATTTATCCCTGTTTCCAAAGCATGATAACGGTACAACTATTAACATTGGTACTCCCCTTGAAAGGAATGTTAGTCTGCAACAGATTATCACACTCCACCCTATTTTGACAGTTTGTCTCTTTTCCTTGTTCACTTGCTGGCAATCATTTATACTCCTATGTGGAGTGACCCACTGGGAGATTTAAGTTCTTGTCCAAAAAAAGCACTCTGACTCTTATCATTGCTTCACACTTGCACATTTTAATCTGGAGTCCGATGACCACATGCCTCATGGCCCACCCCTCCCCTCTCCTTCCTTTTCACTGTTCCCTCACCCACTTGGTACAAATGTCTTTCTCTCCCCAGCCTTCCACTGTTATGAAGATCAGAGAAGGCAGGCCATAATTTTCACCAAGAAAATACTGAGCACCTGCTCCTCAAAATCACACTTACTATGCAGGCTACATCCATCATTGTCTTAGAATGGCCAAAAATAAAAAAAAAAATGTTCCTAATTAAACTTACTTTACTATATGCCAACTTTTGGAAGGCCTTCTTTGCCATGCTTGGCTCAAAGAACTCCACAAGAGCTGTGATTCCTGATGGAGGCAACACAAGCCTTGCCACTTTTCCAAATGGTGAAAAAATGTTCATTAGCTCTTCACTTGATGTGTTGAAAGGTAGATTTTTCACCAACATAACTGTCTTACTCCTTTTCGGCGAGGGCTAATCAAAACAAAAAAGCAAAAATATTATCTGTAATTGTCCTCACACTTATCCTTACAGTCAAACGTTTTACAAAAATAGGCCTATCTAAAAACATTAAAACATAGGTTTTCAATCTAAAGCCTCAGTCTAGCATCTTCTGTTTAAAGAAATTCAAAATCATTGCTACATCCCCTTAGCTTGGAAAAATATTTTATAACCGCTCCCATCTCAAGTATTTGGACCCAACCAGTCACTCTGTTAGAAAAAACACATAAAGCTGTACATGGTCTTGCACCTGCATATATTACTAGTATTTTATCTCCTAAACAGTCCCGCTATAACCTAAGGTCTGTTGGTAACCACATTCTTGCAAGGCCCAAAATCAGATCAGCCAAGCTGACTGGAGACAGAGCCTTTGCGGTTGCTGCAGCAGTCTTATGGAATGCATTGCCACCCAGTCTGGAATACTGGCAGTATTACCTTATTCAAGAAACAATTAAAGACACATCTTTTTAGGGAAGCACATTTTTAGGTATTTTACAGTTTTAATCTATCCCACAATTTATTATTATATTACATTGTTAGTTAGCCACATCTGTCAATTTTATCTACTATATAAAGTGTTATATTAAGTACTATATCAAATGTAATGATAATATCATGAATTGTAAATAATTATTTTCATAGTCAGTTTTCCTTTTCAACTTGTAAAGCGCATTAGATCATTATACCTAATGAACTTTGCACTATAGAAATAATAAAATTATTATTCGAATAAGCAAAGATTTGGTAAAACATTTGACAATGAAAAACTGCGATAAAATATTATAAAGCATGACACGACGTTTCGACGTTTCCAGAACGTCATTATAATGACGTTCTGGAAACGTCGAAACGTCGTGTCATGCTTTATAATATTTTATCGCAGTTTTTCATTGTCAAAAATTATTATTATTATTATTATTATTATTAAATATTTCTGTTTTACATCCAATATTTTAGACAATATTTTTAAGTAAAAGAGAGGGTTCCCAGGAGCAAACTTTTAAGAGCTAACCACACACCTGTCCAAAAACATCAAGCTGGACTCCTTGAGATACAAGAAACTTCCTTGTCTCTGTAACAACTTGTGTCTCCCCAAGGGCCATACGTACAGCCAAACTTCTAGAAGAAGCACCATCTAAAATGCTCCCCTTTGTGGTGTGATACTGATCGGCCATTGCATCAGCAACAGCATTCATTCCCAAAAACAATGTGTTCCAATTGTGGTCATGACTGCTGAGACTTTTCTTTTTTGCATCACGATTGGACTTGAAGGATGTTGTTGCATCTGTGAACATTTTCAACAACACCATTCCTTATAACATTCCCTTGCCAACAATGTAATATAAAATGTTAGTTACACACCCACACAATAGAAACATTTGTCAAAAGGAAGCCACGGCTCGACACTAACTTTTCAACTCGCTAGACAAGTGGCTTGTGACATCTTAGATGTTACGACAATTGCAGTTTGTTTACTAGCCAAACTGGCTTGTGGAAATCGAAAAACCAGTAGCCAAAACTGAATTTTACTGGTCTGTGGCTAGTTGGCTACCATAAGTGTCAAGCCCTGGAAGCATCTATGTGTGTATGATTGTCACATGAGCAGCAACACCTTGACTTTGGAGCAGCATATACAGAGCAGTTTGCAAAGACCCGGTGCAATGATTTGTTACCAAGTTTGTCCCCCTTGCCAGACAAAACAAACCTGTTTTTTCATCTTCTTTAGTTTCCTTAGCCTTGGATGGTAAGATGTGGAGCAGTCTTCCTTGAAATACTTTGCCATCAAGTTCATTAAAAGCCTTCACAGCATGCTCTGGCATAACAAATGTGACAAACCCAATTCCTATGGGTTTATTTGTAGTCTTGTCCAGTGGTAGATATGTCTCTGTTAGAGGACCAAACTTGTCAAACAGGTTTTGCAAGTCTTCCTCTGAACAACTAAAGGCCAAGTTACGGAGAAAGAGACGGCCAGACTAAACACAAAATACAATGGCATCAATTTACAGACTAGTAAGTAAGTAAGTAAGTAAGTAAGTAAAGACTTCATTTAAAGAGGGTAGCACTAAAATAGCACAAACCCGTGGCCCTCTAAAGTTATCTACAATACGGATGTTAAAAACTATGGCATAACTATGAGATAATATAATGAATAAAATACAAGAGATAAGAGATAAAATAGTACAAAAGTAGAACTAAATCAAAGAATAAAATGATTTAAAAGCTGCTGTTCTTCAAATAATTTTTTCCAAAGAGAGTTCCTAAAAGAATTTAGCGATGCTATTTTCCGCATGGATAGCGGTAAGCTGTTCCAGGCTTAACAGGCAGTCACAGTAAATGTTCTTCCTCCTTCCGTTTTATGTTTGATAACAGGGCGAGCAATATTGAAGTTGGCAGTTACAAGCAGCCATAGACACTCCAGTAATACAGACTCTGTGGCATATTCCCTTAACAAGGCTGTGCTCTAAGAGAAACTGAAGGGAGTCCAGTGCTCTGAAACTTTGAAATACAGGGTGCCCAGCACATGTTTTTATATGAAAAAACTAAAATTCCCTAGTCACCCAAGAGCAAAAGTAAGGTGCCAGGGGCCAGTGGGTGCTGCCAGACCACAGCCCTGCTTATGTCTTTATTATCCAACTACACTCCATGTATGTATTAACTGGAGTCCAATGAGGTACATAGAACTGTAAATATATCCCAAGCGCGAGGGCCATACTGGGAGGATATCGGCCCGAGGTCTTGACAGTACAGACCGAGTGCAGCGAGGTCCATACAAAAAAGACCGAGGGCTGATATTCTTCCAGTACGGTCCCAAGCAAGCTTGGTCAATAAGAGATTTATCATACGCCCTAAGTTCAAAGGGACACAAGTGCGGTATCATTCGGGACCATTCGGGACAGTGCCAGGTCCAATACTTAGAGAATAGAATGCAATAGAGCATTTTGATTGTTTGAATTTAGTTATTGGCCCTCTGACTGCTCGAGTCGTGTAATAAATTATCTTATTACACCTGAAAGTAACTAGGAATGACTGGTTAATTTAAGGTGAAGAGATGGAGGGGCTTACTGATAAACTACACCTTGGGCAAATTTAATGCTGGTTCTGTGGCCAAAATCTCTTGTTATTTCTTGCTAATTGTTTTTGATTTTCATAAGTGAATAAAAGTTTGGGCCAAAATCAAAGGGGAAACTTGGTCCTTAACTTAACACACAGACCTCCAACATTAATGTATGTGATAACTTGGTTCTCTAGTTAATCTTTCCCTCAGTCAACTCTTATTTTCACTCTCTATCACCTCTGCAATGCTTTCAAATTCACCCTCTTCTCCTTGAGCTGCTAATTTCTTCATCCAAGGTTTATCCTTCTCAGTCTCATGGTTCAACTGTTGTTCCTCTTTGACTCTAGACAACTCAATGTATCTACCCTGGATGAAATCCCGATCTCTTTTTAGTGCCTCCTTAATATCCTTCTCATTTGAAAAATCTACAAAACCGCAGCCTGTGGGCTTTCCTTGGTGATTTTTAATTATTCTTATGTCCAGCATTTTCAGTGGTGCAAAAAAGTCTTTGATGTGTTGGTTTTTTGCTTTGAAGGGCAACCCTTTCATCTTTATTGTTCCACATGCAACAGCATCCTTTGGTCTCTCATGCTTGATTTTTTCATCATTATTACCAATGGTATCTGCACCATCATTATTTGTGTCACTGCCACTACAATCATCATCATCATCAGTCTTTTCTTCATCATTATCCTTGTCATTATCACCATCATTACTGTCTTGATCATTTTTGCTTCCGCTAGTATCCAAAAATTCCTCACCAAATTTTTCTTTCTCTCTCTCTTCTTCATCCTCTCCATCGACTCTTTTCCACTTCTGAGATTTTTTGCTTGTCATAGTTTTGAGAGGACTCTGTGTGTTTGAAACAACTTTTGATTTTAAGTAATCCATATCAGAGAGTTTAGAATCCTTAGCCATTCTGGCTTCTTCATCACTTTCCTTGTTGTCTTTTGAATCATTCCCTCCCTCTGAAACTCTTGTTACTCCTGCAACAACATAGATTTCCACTGAAACAAACTCTTGCTGATCATTCACTTCCAAGAGTGACTAAAAGAAAAAATCTCCTTACTAGCACAGTACATTATCAAGCACAAAGGTAATGAGAGGAAGGAAAAATATCAACTAGGGGATAGTGTTTGATCCACTGCCAAATTCTCATGGCTATAATCCTAGAAAATGTATGGCAGACAATCCAGAGAATCCATTTTCAGAACTAGGTGGTGAAAGGGTTAAGTCAGTACTTTTCAAGACTGGTAGTATTTACCAAGTTAGAATTAATATTACTATCAACATTAATTGTGATTGGTGAAAAAATCTACAGTAAATCATTTCTTAAAGGTATTTCTTGTTTCAGTTTGCTTTCTGTGGAGGAGAATGGTAGAAAAGTAAAAGAAGATTGCAGGCCAGCAAGGCCTGGTTTCCTTTCAAAATACCTGACACATCACAGACTTCATCTTCATTTTCACTTCCATCAGAATCATCATATTTTACTTGTTCCTCAGAATGCTAAAAATTGAAAAAAATGCAAAGATAGGTTAAAAAACCATGGGCCAATTCTTCCAAGAATATATAATGTGAATGGCAAGGAAAACCTAACAGTTTAAATTATAGACTAAATAAAGATTCATCTGAAGCAGAATGTCATCCATTTTGAATGCCATCCAAAACTTGGCTCAAGCAAGTTTTTGGAAAACCAGGGGCAGTGAGTCGATTTGAAATTAGGGCGGAAGAGGCCCTGGGGACATTGTCTTACAAGACTAGTTCCAAATGGTCATAGTTGTTCTGGCATCTAATTGGTGCCAAAAAATCTTTGTGTTTTTCTGCCCAATCAGAGTGAAGTGTGCTTTAGAGACCTTTTGTGTGCTTTAACACAGACATATACAAGAAGCTCAGTTGCTTGCCATGTTTGTTTGGGCTGTGCGATGGAGCTTAGCTCGAGTTGAAAGGTTTCAGTCTCAGCACACAACGCAAGAGAAATCAATCAGATTGTCTGTGAAAATCTTACCAGAAATTATACTGAATACTTTCGCAGGTATCACAAGAGAACGTGTTTTAAAAGTTTGCAGGGTTCGTATAAAACATAATGGTTGCAGGTGTTAATATGTCGCTTTAAATGTTAGACGAGATGTAAGCTGAAATCTTCCTACTGTAGATTTTTTGTATAATTTGTTGTTACTGAAACTTTGCCAATCCCGTGAAGTTATTTCGTTGCACGGGCCACACAGGCATGTCGAACAACTGGTGCTTACGCATCTTTCTGTGCGCACCAAAATCTAATCTCCTTTGGCTAGTTGTTTAGGTAAGGTCCAGGGTATATTTTATGATAATGAATAATCCGGGTGAAAATGTTTCAGATCGTCGTCGAGTATGCTCTTCCGTTTTTATCACCATTAAGAGAAAAAGAAATCTTAATGGTGAGTTCATGAAAATATTTGAAGTTTTCAATCAAAAGGTTCTACCAGACAATGGTCTTCCACATGCAGTTTGGGACACTCGTTGCTATAGAATTGAAACATCATGAAAACGTAGTTGTAACAAAGAGGCATCAATAAAAATTTCCCATGGGCAGAGTATCCAAACAAGAAAATCGAATTGTTGCTGTTTCCCAGTTTCTACTAGAAGAACATTTGTCAAGGTATGCACAAATGCAATACAACCTATGTTGAAAAAAAGAAAAGCTAAGCATGGAAACTTTTATTTATTAGATGTGGGTAGATGACCCTGCACTAAGCTGAAATTTACAATAAAGCAAACCCGCCCTTTCCATCCAATATTTCTTGGTCTTTGGTTCTGTTTTCCCCAATGAAAGCAGCATTGATTCGGAATGATCTAAGGCATTTAACTTGGTCTTCAACAGTTGCCAAAAGAGGTGAAATGACAATGAACAAGAGACTAGAAGAGGATCCATAGCCTTTGGAGCTAAAGAATCTGAACACTCAAGGCCGCAGTTGAAAGATTAAACTCTTTCCAAACCCCATTGGTAACTGTCCGATAACATCTCTCCTTCCCACGATGTTCTTGATAATACGTATTTGTTCAGATTTTAATTCGCTAACCGGAAACACAGCTAAGCTTTCTCTAAGCACTTTCTGGAGGTCATCCACGAACTTAACGTTCTCTGCAACCTTGGCCATACTGTGAAAGACTTCGCTACAAAGCGAAGATTAGATTTTGGCGCGCACATAAGGCTACATAAGCATAAGCGCCAGTTGCTCGACATACCTGTGTGGCCCGTGCGACGAAATAACTTCAAGGGATTGGCAAAGTTTCAGTAACAACAAATTATACAAAAAATCTAGGAAGATTTCAGCTTACATCACGTCTAACATTTAAAGCGACATATTAACGCCTGTAACCATTATGATTTATACGAACCTCGCAAACTTTTAAAACACGTTCTCTTGTGATACCTGCGAAAGTATTCAGTATAATTTCCGGTAAGATTTTTGCGGACAATCTGATCAATTTCTCTTACATTGTGTGCTGAGACTGAAACCTTTCACCTCGAGCTAAGCTCTGTTGCACAGCCCAAACAAACATGGCGAGCAACTGAGCTTGTATAAGTCCATGTTAAAGCACACAAAAGGAATCTAAAGCACACTTCACTCTGATTGGGCAGAAAAACACAAAGATTTTTCTGGCACCAATTAGATGCCAGAACAGCTACGACCGTTTGGAACTAGTCTTGTAAGACAATGTCCCCTGAGGCTCTTCCGCCCTAACTTCAAATCGACTCACAGCCCCTGGGTTTCCAAGGATGAGACAGAGCCAGCTGCAACATATTCAAATAATTGATACATTTTTTTGGG